GCATTGTAACGCGTGTCATAGAGATCTCAAAGTTGAATACTGAGATATCAATTGTTTAAAATAATACTTCGATACATGGTAAAGTTCTCGAATAAAAACATTTCAGATGCTATTTCGTATTCGTGTGATATTTTTCCGTACTTTCGCTTATCACAATGATCGGTAAATATATTCAAGAGTATCTCCAGTTTGTAAACAAAAGCCTAGATGAACAGAATATAATACAACGTGTTCAGAAAACATTTTAGAAGTGATGACAGATGTATTCGAAGCGATTCAATGAAAGTGTTTACAGTATTTAAAGGCCAGCTAAAATAATTCTGGGATCTTCTACAGCATCCTTGATCTTTCTTAAGAACAATACAGCTTCGCGTCCATCAATTAATCGGTGATCGTATGTTAAAGCTACGTACATCATTGGACGAATTTTTACCTGGAATGTATATTATGATATTAATAATAATGATTATTAAAAGAAAAATTACAATCTGAAAATAAAACTTATCGGCTACCTCGCCTTTTATTGCAACAGGTCTATCAAATACTCCATGCATTCCAAGAATTGCACTTTGTGGTGGATTAATAATAGGTGTTCCCATGAGGGAACCAAAGACACCACCATTACTTATTGTAAAGGTTCCGCCGTCCATGTCTTCCACTGATATTTTGCCTTTCCTTGCCTTATCGCCCAACGCGGCTAGAGCAATTTCAATCTCAGCGAAGTTCTTGTTTTCTACACTACGAAGTACTGGTACCACGAGACCCTTCGGCGTTGCAACTGCGACACTAATATCAACGTAATCTCTATAAACAATATCGGTGCCGTCTATTACAGCGTTTACCACCGGTTGATCTTTTAAAGCATAGGCACTTGCTGCAATAAATGGACTCATAAATCCAAGCTTTAAACCATATTTTTTCGTAAAACCTTCTTGCTTCGTTTTACGGAATTCTATAATGTTACTGTAAAAGAAACAAAAATTAATTAGGCGGTGATAATAAAAAAGAATGAAGAAAATACAATATATAACAACCTCATATCAATTTCATTAAATGTCGTCAACATAGCGTTCGTATTTTGAGCCTCCTTTAATCGTTCTGCAATACGTAGTCGCATTCTATTCATTTTCACACGCTGCTCTGTCCTAGTACCAATTATTTCGCGTGTATAATCAGCAGGAGGTAATTGAACTTTAGCGCCTTCTAGAGACTGAAGAAAGTTTTTTAATTTTTAGAGTGCAAAGAATTATGTAATGATTGACAAGATACTGTGTGTTACTAAAGTTGAATCATATTTGTACAGTAATTATTACCTGTGCATGTTTAATGGCAGCAACTGGCATTGAGGCTGTAGGTGCTTGTGGAGGAGGAGGTTTAGCAGCTGGAGGTGGTACAGCTGCTGATGGTGGTGGTGGTGGTGGTGGTGGAGGTGGTGGTGGTGGAGGAGCTGCTGTGGGAGGAGGTGGAGGAGCTGCTGTGGGAGGAGGAGGAGGAGGTGCAGAAGGTGCTTCTGCAGCAGGTTTCGACGCTGCTGGTGCAGCTCCACCAGTAGCACCAATGTCAATGGTACATAATTTCTGTCCTGGCTTTACAGTTTGACCATCTTTAGCAAAAATTTCTTTGATTACACCCCCACCAGGTGACGGTACAGGAACTGAAGTCTATGAAAAAATTACCATAAATTCATCAGTTAAAAGACTCAATATTTTATTTGTTTCATTCAGAATTTTACCTTATCTGTTTCAATTTCACACAGGACATCATCTTCTTTAACTTGGTCACCAACTTTCTTTTCCCATCTTACATCTCCTTCGCTTACACTTTCCGCAAATGCCGGGACTACAACTTCCTTTATTTCCCCTATTGTCATTGACGAGAGTATTATTATGACTTTAGAATACTATTTTTAGCTTAGTTCTTGAATGCCTCGAAACTGACTTACATAACGAAGGTGTTGAATGAATATGTCTTGCCTGGTCTACCCAATAATTAAATTTCTTATATTTTGTACACCTAAATGATTCATTTGAAATTAAAATAAAATTTTCCTTGTATTAATTTCATGAATCATTCTTAGAAAAAATATACACATATATATGTACGTATACTTTTCCACTTACAATTCAGAATTCTTGTTGATCACATGTTCGGTGTGGATAAATAGTATGCGCCCTACAAAAATGATTTGATACAATTAGTAGTTTATGTTCATGGTTATCTCCAACGTTGCTATGCCTCTCTATAAAGACAATGTTTAGATTTTCAACATATCTCACCACTTTCTTTAATGTATTATCTGTGACTGCTCTTACCTTGACTACTAAACGATCTCACAACCTGAAAAAATCATTGTTACATTTAAGTTCCATCCCAATTAAACAAAGTAAATCCTGACAAAGTGTCCTTTTAATATATTTCAAATATAATCGTACGGGATAACAAGAAAATGATAAAACAAGAATCATAACTAGAAATTGACCAGCAACGAATCAATTGACGATATTTAGACATTTGAGTTTACATGTATCTGACGATTGCAAGTAATTAATCGTTATTTCATTGACAGATCATATGGGTGGACCAAGAGAATGATATGCGTTAAGATGCTATTATATAATCGATGCGACAGATAAGGGTAGTATTGCAACAATTTTGTTGGCAGATTCTACTTGAAAAGGGCGTTCGGTACTTCTTACCTAATGTATGTGTTACAGATGTTTCAAGACTAATAGGAAAATGTACTTGATAATTCCAAAGAAGAACTCACCTTCGTGCGTGTTATACTAATTCGGGTTATTGCACGAGGCATAAGCCGCGAACAGTTAGACAGCATCGCGGCCATCCTCAAACAGAAGATTATACTCAGGTGTTCGTTCACGACTTTCGTGACGGCGAGGAAGCAGTGTAGGGCCGTACGAACAGTGGGGGCTACGGCTACACTGCAGAACAAAATAGAATAAACCTGCCCCACCTTTGCTTCCTAAGAAATGTTGCGAAAAACAGTATGACTATCTATAATATAATGTTCTATGGTATAAATTGTAATGCAAAAAAAATTATGATTGCTGTACCATTATTCAAATTTAAAAATTCAGTGAGGAATTTCAGCATTGATAAAAAAAATTTGGTTACAAGTACTATATATATATATAATATAATTATATATAATTATAATTATAATTTATATAATCAATTTTAAATCGTGTGTTAAATATAACATTTTTATTTATACACAGTTTAAATGTGATATGTGAAACGTGCAAAATGTGTTAATACGATTAAAAATATGAAAAATACAATTAAGGATAAATACGCAAAATACATATTTAAATAGTTAATACATAAAAATGATGTATGTTCATAAAAGCATGCAGAAATGGAAAGTTGAAATTTAGCGAACTCATTTCCGATGAGACTTTTTATGCAAAGATATGCCTCGCAATTTATACCACAAAACATCATATCATAGATACGAATGCTATTTTTTGCAATGATTCTTAGAAGATCGTTGATACTTCTCATGATTCCTTTTTCTCGAAGTCAGATTATGGCATCAGACACCGAGCATAGAAATGAAATGTTGAAGGAGTTGCAAAACTATGAAGTTATAAGGGTAAGACCATATATGCATATTTTGGAATTTGTTCAATAAAATTGTTTTAAGTTTCTGTATCGTTTATCCTATTTATCATAACGTAATAACAGAGCCTAAATGGATTTCAATGAGTTCGAAGATGATTATGAACGGCATCATTTTTCTAATACATACATATTAATTTTAAAATCTTTGAATTTTCGAATTTCACTGATTTTCTGAAATTCTGCCTGAATCAACAATCTGTTGATGACAATTCACATGAAAGAAATTTTTAAAAAAGCCTAAATAAAGTTTTCTGTCTCCGAGAAGCAAGAATAGTTTTGCGATTAAATTGTAATTTAATGAATACATTTGATTTTATTATATTATCTATGATAAATATTATCGTATTAATAATCCATTATGAAATTATAGAATTGTAGAAACTGCTTTATTATTCGATCCTGATGTTACATGATTAAATATTGCAAAAGAATCGCTATAATTTAAATCGAATGTAATGGTGCGAATTGTAACAGCTGATGGTGATAATCATATCACTAAGGTTACTTCTGAGACTATTTCTTAAGTAGATTACCAACTCACACCGTTCAATCGTAGAAAACAGATTCCACTTAAAATAAACCTATGATTAATTATTTTACGCCTGATTTTATACTAAATTAATCAATTCATAAATGAATCCTGTGAGCATCTTTTAATCGAGAGATTAACACAGAGTCAACGCAATGTTCAAAGGTACAGCGAATGAACTCCACTAGGTTCATGAGTTCGTGACCAAGTTTGGGTTTTTAAACGCGTGAATAGCGAAGATCTAATTGAATGGAATCGAGGACGGAGCAATGATCGTGTATCGGAACAGATTTGTTATGAACATAACGCGCGACAGGGTTTGACTGTTAATTATCCCGTGAAAATCAAAGTATTTAAAGAACATTTTTTCGCAGAACATATTTGTTTGACAGCGAAGTGTGCGTTGTTTATTGAGGTTGACGAGATTTATTGTGCAACATGGCGATTATATTTGAATGATAAGTGCACGTCGTTTTGTTATTATTTCATTTGAATCGGGAAGATTCCATATATTTCATTACGATAGCATATGAAATATTCATATGCATTGATCGTGTTGTGTGTCGTTGCGTGTAAGGTTCACAATAACTAAGTAATCTTACACGGAAAGGTTAAAAATATTGTGATAGAACATACTCCTGTATGTTGATGTTACTTCTTGGACGGCTTTAAATCGTTATTCTAGATTATAATTTTTCAAATGGTTGTGGCTGTAGCCGCGAACAGTTTTAAAATGTGCATTATTACAAATTGTCAAACAGGTAATAAGAAGTTTTCTTTATGGGACAATGAGACTATAACAAAATAAACTATGCGGTATGTGAACATTTGTACAAGCAAGTTAGTGCGTTTCAAGAGTCGCATAACTGTTAAAAGAACTGTAGGCTCAAATGTGCAATAGAAATTAGAGTATCATAATTAACAGTGTGATGAGCGGCAGTGGATTCAGAGGAAGAGGCTTTGGACCACGGGGTGCACGTTCGAATGGTCCACCCAATGGCTTTAGCGGACCCCGGTTTCCACATCCCAATTTTAATCACTCAAGGCCACCACACAGATTATCTGGACCTGACAAATGGGTAGACGGTCCAAATTTTGCTCCATGGCAACAGAACAACAAGTTTATTCCAAGGTCGCAATATAGGGGTAATTTATCATTTCGACCAAATGCTAGGGGTAGAGCAGCTAATGGCAGGGGAATTGTAAGGTTTTCTGGACCTGGTAGACCACCAGGTCCTCAATTTTGTATGGGTTTTACAAGAAATCCTGGGCCCAGGATACCATTGCCCCAAGAAGAACAACAAATAATACAAGAAGAAGAAAAGTCTATGATGATACCACAGACTCCGTTGCTTGGATCTGAAGAAGAACGTCAGCAAAAAATTACTGAGACAGCTGACAAATTAAAAGAAAAATTATCTTCCATAACAGAAGAAGATCTTACAAACTTTTGGGAAGACGATTTATCCTTTTTACCAAATAGTAGCTCTGAAGAAGGAATTACTGTGAAAAAGGGTATTCCTGAACTCAGACATGAACCTCCAGAACTTGATTTAACTTTTACTGACTTTAGAGATATAGGGAGGGTAGACTGTAATAATTCAAAATTTGATAATATAGAAGATGGAGAGGACGATGATGATATTACCATCATTTGTGAAAATGATAGTGTACATAGAACTGCAGCTACAAACAATATTATTGTCATAAATGAAGATCACGAAAATCCCCTAAATATTTCAGAAATTTTACAGAATAATGATAATTTAAATCAATCGAGTATGTTGGAAGATGACAAATGCCAAGAACAGATGTTCCACGAGGTGCCTAATTCTGACTTGGAAAACTTGCATTTGCAAAATGACAATGTTTCGGAAGGTTTACAGTCTTGTAATTTGGATACCGATGCCAATCTAAATACGGGAGAAGTGAATGACCTAATAAATGAAAATGCTTTAGTATTTAACAATGCAGAGACAATTCCCACATCTGTATCAACTTCAAATGGTCAGGATGTATTGCAAGTAGGATTTTTGGAAAATCAGAGCACATTGCATGATAAAAATACAATTATTGCACAAAATACAAATGAAAATGATCATTTAGAAGTAAATGTGAACCAGTGTAGTAGCACACAAGTAAACGTGTCTCAAGAAGAAGCTTGTCAATTAACAAGCAGCATATCCAATTCAACTCAAAATAATTCAATTACTCATCCATCATCTAATGAAGAAATTCAATTAAATTTTGCCTTCGATTCTAAATCTCCAACATGTTCACCTTATGATGAAGTACATAAATTCAATGATGACACGAAATTATGTAATCCACCTATTTTTCACTCAAGGGCATTTAATACACCTCCTAGATTTGCTCCAAGAGTTCTTCCTGGACTTAGATGCAGGTGGTCATTTCAACAAAATGGGAAAAATATATTTTTTAGGGGACCACAAAGATTACCGTTCCATGGAAATCGAATGCCTCTACCAAGACACATTGCACCATACAAACCACCTGACATGGGTCCAGTTACTTTTGGTCCATGCGCACCACCGCCATTTACACACAATGTACCTGTTTCGAGCCATGACTCTCAGCACCATACATTAGTGCCATTTTCTTCGAACGATTTACTTCCTGCGTTCGATCCCAGTGAACCTCCGCCAAATATACGTTCGATATCAGTGACTGAATCATCCAATAGACAAGAAATTACGCGAACTATGTCTCCTTTAGATTCAAGGAATCAAATAACAAGTGTTTCTCAAAGTAGTATGGACATTACGCAACCACCTCCTTCTTTTGATCCTAGGGGACCACCTCCTAGGATCTCACCAATTAAAGCTAATGAAAAGTTACCTGAATTTAATCCTCAACAGCCACCACCAAAAATTCACAAACAAGATGAACTTCTTCAACCACCGCCAATCTTCGATCCACGGCTGTCCTCTCAAGAACGTTCTAAGCTGATTGCTCCACTAAACACTTCAGAATCTCACATGATAGGTACGCATTTAATGGAATTATCGCAATTAGACTTTAATATAAATCCTGTTGCAGCAAATTTTTCACAACCACCACCGTTTATGCCTAGTCTACCGGTAAATTTTCAACCTGTTCTACCCCAAACAAATAATGGACAAATGATGCTGCAAGATTTTGGATTGCCTCCACCATCTATAAACATGACCGATGTTCCTCCACCCTTACCGCAGGAAGTTCCATTAGAAAAAAATTCTAATAATCAGCAAGGTATAAGTATGGATGATGGATTAGAAGACATGCAAGAAGCAATGGAATTTGCAAAGCAAATAATGAATATGTCGGTAGAGCCGAAGAATAATCGAGGCGCGTCGTCAGCGTTATCAGAAATGCAATTCACACCATCAGAAATTCCTATACCAAAAGAGGATGTATCCTGCGCATTGTTGGTAAATCAACTACTTGTAAATACTGGGAAAAAACAGAAGAAGAAGGAAAGTAAAGTTAAAAAAGGAAAACAAAATACAATTTGTGAACCAGAACATATCCAAAAACAGGAACGAACTCAGATAACGAATGATGAACAGAGTACGCAAAGTCAAAGTAAAACTAGTGAGGATGTACTGTTAACAAGTGATCAAATTCGGCCAAAAGTAGTATTTAATTTAAGTTCCAAAACAAAAGTATTACAAAAACCAGAAGAATGGCATAGGCCTTCTATGAATACTTCTGAGGATAAAGAAAGTTCTCAGCAAGTCACACATCAGAATTCGCAAAAAGAACGAAGGCAAGCTAAAATGTATTCTTCTGACTGCAAGAGAAATAATCAAACTAAAACTCCACAAAGAGAACACAATCCTAAGTCAAGTTTAATACGTTGCGTGGAAATTGCGAAAGCTCCTGTGTCTGAAAAATCAACAGATACATCTCATTGTCAAGATCCTAACAGAAGTTCAGAGAAATCTGATATACGCTCCTCGCCAGCAACATTGCCAAATGATATTGCCACACAGAAGAATCAAAAGTCTAAGAAGGAGAATAAAAAATTAGGAGCCCCTACCTCTGAATCATCGTGGAAGAACAGAGTAATCAGTCGTTTTTTGAAAATGAGTAAGAATGATATTTGCAATATGGTCAACAATTCGAGTCTTCGTAAATTTGATATCGCAATGAAACATTTAGTGAAAGAACGAAGGTCGTCGCTATCCTTAAAAATGAGAAATACTGAGGATGAAAAAATGAAAGAGTATGACAGAGAAGAATTCATGAATCAATTAAACGCAATGTTGGACCCAGGTGCTGTGGTGGGTATTACAGATTTACCCACTGAATTTATTCATCATTTAAGCGAGGTTTTACAATTAGATCCTATGCCCTCCGATCTCGAGTCATCTGACAAACAGAATACAAATATTGATGAAGTTAGAACTATAAGTCAGAGCGATAATTCAGAAATATGTACCTCAGAATATTTCAATGAAGAAAATATGGAAATTCAACCATGTAGTTACCAAGAACATGAAGATACATGTATAGAGAAAGTAGAAAACAAGTCTTCGCAGACAAAAGAAGAACCTTTTCATTATTCTCTAAACACACAACTTTCACAAGACAGTTCATCGAGGAAGTCAAATGTGAATAAGTCAAATTCTGAAACAGAAACTGTACATAAAAGACAGCAGCCATTATTTAATGAAGCTGATCTGGATGACATCTTATCTCAAGTGACAGAGAGAACAAAATCATTACCTAATGCAACTTCAAAGACTAGCATAGAAAGGGACAAAACTTCGATGCAGCCAGCGAGGGAAACTTTTGAGCACAATACTTTTTCGCAGATTTCCCATGCAACAGTAGCTGACCTCGATGATATATTTTCAGCAGGTATCGCAAGAGCTAAGTCACTTAACAAAAATGCAGAATTAGATACTTCAAGAACACGGAAATCAAGTTCCGAAGATCGAAATACTTTTAGAAGTGAACGATATGAGAAATGGAGTAGAAAGGAACGTGAAGATCCAGACACATTCAGGAATTTAACTAAAGAAGAATGGGAAGCTAAGTATGGAACAATGAATGCTTCTGTAACATCAGCTACTATATGGAAAACTGTATCCAACAGTGCTGAAAACTTAACTAGAGATAGTAAAAATTACCAATCTCAAAGGTATTGCTCATCAGATTCACCAATGAGAAATGTAAGTATAAGTCCCTTAACACACGAGTCTGTTTCTATGCATAATCAGGATAGGTGCATAACTCGTTGTAACGAAATAGAGGAATCAAAAACAATAGAACGGTCTGAAAGCAGTAACGATTCTAGTACAACCAGTTCAAGTGATAGTGACGAAGAGACCGTTGCTCCTAATGTAACAAAATTGTTAAAAGTGATTAAAGAGAAGGAGAAAATCGCTAAGAAAAGGTCGCTTAACGAAACTATTAGAGACGAGGTGGCAGCTGAGATAGAGAAAAAGTGGAAGGAAAAGAGTAAATATAAGGAACGCAAATTTCGCAAACGTGAGAAACGGAAAAAGGATAAAAGGGAAAAACGAAAGAAGGAGAAAAAGAGGAAGAAGAAGAGAAATTCTCATTCCAACACATCAAAGTCTAGTGAACTCTCTGAAGAGTTCCGTTTGTTAACAGAGGATGAGATTAAAAAAGAGGTAACTGTCAAGGAAGAGCCATTAAGTACATTTGAAGATAGTATTTCTCAAGGATTTAATAATGAAGCTAACAGCAGTCAATCGGATCCTACTATTAGCAATAAAATTGCAGTAACTAGGTCATGGATCGAATTGCAAAACTTGCAAATGGAAAAACAAATTCCTACAGTTGTTTGTGATAAGACATCAATGCAGCCTAAGAAGAAGACAGCAATCATTTCAATGACTGTACAACCAAAGACTAAGGCTCAATTGAAACAAATGCCAGAATCCAGTGAATCAGAACAAAATCAAATCACGGAGAAATCAGCTGAAGCAGGGAGTGGAATTAATGAAAGTAGAGTAACGAACACTGATGGTGAAAAGATGAATGAGCATATGGAAGAAAGTAAGGATAATGAAGTAACTGAAAATAACAATGATTGTGTGGATACTTCCATATGTAGAAGCAACTCTGTACTTCAAACCAATGTACCTTTAAATGTTATCGAGCAATCACACACAGAAGTTATTAGTAACACCAATGCACCAAATACATCTGGTAACTGTGTACATCCTACTACTGAGACGAATGCAAATAATCAGACAAGTGAACAAAAAACACATGTAGGAGGTACTTCGTCAACAGAAACTAAAAGTGGATACAGAAAGATAGATATAAAGGCATATAAGGAACGTGCTCTCCAGAGACGCTTGCAAGAGGAAGCTAAGTTGAAAGAAAAATATTTAAATCCTATTTCTGTGTCACAAGATTTGTCTCAATCTGCTTTACCCATTGATAAGATTCATAGTGAAACTGAAAAATTAAACTTAGAAAAAGAAGTTAAGGCAACGGAGGTGGAAAATGATGCTCTCTTGAAAGATCCACGATTAATTAAAGAAAGATCGATTCAATCAATAGATTCCTCTTGGTTACCTTCTCAAAAAGGGGTAAAGGAAAAAATTGATTTTGAAGAAGAGCATAAAAAAAGTAAAGAACCTTTTGTTTTTACGCAACTGAAGAATACCAATGAATCAGTAGAAATTAGGGATAAAGAAAAAACGATAACACAATTGGATCCTAGTACAAATCTTCTTGAAGAACCTATTAAATCAAAAGACCACAAAAATGATGATAAATCATCTTCACAAGAAAGGATAACTAAACGGGAAGTGGAAAACAAAATTGGATCTAAAGGAGAAGGGGACGAGAAAAGGTTAAAGAAATTGACCACAGCCGAATTTAATAAATTTAAAAATATCCGATCGGAGGGAAGCAAAGAACTAAAACTAAAGAAAGAGAGAAAATCAATGGAGAAAAAATCGACAAAATCAAAGTCCTCGACAAGAGAAAAAGATTTGAAACATTCACAAAAAACTGAGGAAATACAGAAGTCAGTGGCAATAAATGCAAATGACACTTACCATACTGAAATTGAAAAGATGAATGATAATGATACCTCTGAATTACCACAAAGTGGAGAATCACCAATGCCTGCTGAAAACGTTACAATAGAGACTAGTAGTACATTTGAAATGAGTAAGGAACAAACTAATACTAATTTTAGGGTAGGAAAGGGCAATGAAAAGCCTACAGATAATAATAAAGAAGTAACAAATGTTAATAATCAACAAATAGTAGATTCACTTAACAAGAACACCATAGAAGTACAGAGTATGGAGCAAGGAGAACTAAAGACTGAAGATACTCAATGTTTATTAATCTCAAAAACTGAACAAAATAGTACTAAGAATGCTGAAAATAACAGCCTTAAAAATTCTGATGTAAATGCAGTACAAGGTGAATCTGTAATGATTGAAACATTAAATAGAGAGGAAATTGTAATGGAAAAAATGACAGCTATAAACAATAACTCATTAGCTTCTGTTGGAGGTGAACCTACAAGCAATACAATACTTTCCATAATGGATACAGATCATCATAATCAAGAACCATGTCCTTTAGACGAAAATGATTGCTTAAATAATAAAGATGATTCAAAGGATGCTGTAACTGATAATAATTTCACTCCACAACAAAATAAATCCAATAATATAAATAAGAATATAAAAGATGGCTTTGAAAATGAGAAAAATTTAGAAATTGGAGTGGAAAATGAAAATCAGGAGAAGGATGAATCAATTGCTGAAATAATTGAAGATGTCCAGACTTTAAGGACTTGCAATAAAATTGAAGCAAGCGAAGTAAGATCTCCTGATAGTTCTGGTAGTCCATTTAAAGGTTTTTTTGTGGAGTCCATTGAAGATAATAATCCTCAAGTATCTCAGTTGTATGGGGTACAAATGGAAAATAAGGATGAAATAGAAAGTGTAATGGAAACTTCTAAGCAGATAATTGAGATGAATATTAGGAATAAACTTCACGTGAAAGAGAATGACGATAAAAATCATGATAATCGGTTTAAAAAAGTAAAGGAGTCTGATGAACCAACATTAACTTATGAGTTGGTTTTAGAGCAGCCGGGTATTACAGAAAACAGCTCTGTTGAGAAAAAGATCAATGATAATTCCAATGTTACAGAGAATAATGGAGCATTATTAAAACTGGAAAATATAAGTGTATTAGAAGAATCTCAAACTAAAGTCATGGAGACACATTTTTCAACAGCTCATGATTTAGTTAGCCAAGACACATTTGATGAAGATGGAGAACCCTTTATTGTGTTGGATGAGTACATAGACGAAACAGAGGCAAGATCTCTTGGAAAATTAAGTAATCTTGAGCTGGATCTAGAAGACTGTATTGCCAGAGATACTGATGCATTTGCTAGCAAATCTAAGCAAGATGAAAAAAATTCTATAGACAACTTAAGATCACCGAACTTCAATTCAATTGATTTTAAAGAACTATCAGAAGCCTTTGATAAAAGTGATGAAACATTCACTGAGACAAAGGCTAAAACAAATTCGAATACAACTTCGTTTAAAGATAAAGAAAAAGATACTGTGAAGATTATAGATGTTTCTTTTTCTTTGAATGAGTCAAGTAACAGTGAATCAAATGTGCAATCGTTACAAAAATCGAAATTAATGGTTTCAATAGATTCAGAAGTTCTTGAAGCATATTCACAAAAGGATGTGTCAATCGATGATATTCCTCGACAATCTTCAACTCATGAATCATCCACGGAAATGGAAAGGAGTACACATCATTTTGGTTCTTCGCTATGTCTCAAAATATCAGCAAAGTCAGATATTCCAGAGAAAATTGCTTTGCGAAAATCATTGGAGAATTTGTCTTTGGTTAACGTGCCAACATCCGAAACAAGTATTGAATTACCAGTGTTGAATGAAGAATTTAGTAGTTCTGACAAAAATAATGAGAAAGAACAAAATAAGGCTAAAATAATTTCAATGTCTTCTCATACAAAAATATCCGATAATCAAGATATACTTTTTAATATAACCGTTGAACAAGAGAAAATACAAAAGTTGCATGACATATTTGAAACAGAACATGCAAACAGATTGAGTCAAGAAAAAGAGAATGAAACATTGCACAGAATAAAAAACACGCCTAAAATGAAATCCAAACAGCGCAAGAAGTGCAATGTTTCCAAAAATCAGATAGAAGAAGCAATAGCAACAGATGTAGCAAAAACCAAGTATCCAACTTCTAAAGAAGCAATCATGGCTAGGATGATAGAAATCGATGTTGAAATTCACAAATTGATGACAGAGAAAATGACTTTGTATCAAATGATTACAAATGATGCTTTACCAACAAACAATGATTTAGAACAGAATAATGAAGGATATACACATAAAGAAACCGACATATCCCTGGTTAGACCGCGAACTCCATCCGCGTTAATGTCACAATTAATTCAGAATATAGAAACTAGTCCTGTAACTAATCAATGTGCCAAAACAACTACAGAGAATGCGAAAGATAGTCTAATGAATCCTGCCCAACCAAACAAATTTAAAATGTCCAGATGTGAGCAACATATTCAAAAAAGAATTAGCAGTATTAGTACTTGCAGTTCTGAAAATGAAGAGTCCATACATCAGGTTATTGATACTAACACAAGTTCACCTTCCAAAAAGAAAAAGAAACAAAGAGGATCTGAAAGAGTAGTGAAATGGGAGAATAAGTCTAAATGTATTAAAGAGATATTACACATTAATACAGAAGAAAAACAAGCCAACAATATAGTAAAATCAATTGCAAAAAAGGTTAACGCTGAACAAGAGGGAACTAAACAAGACTTTGATCAGGCACTAACTAATGAAATTAGATCTCAAGAAAATCTAAACGACATACTAGCTGATGTGTTATCGAATCCAAAATCTTCATCTCCTAAGGATAAATTATCTACACTTAATTGTAAAGAAAATGAAAAGCTTGTTGAAGAAACAGAATTTCAAGTTTCTTCCAATGAAGTTGGTAAATCAATAACAGAACAGTCTAATGACAAATTGTTGTTCAGTGATGCAGATACAGCAAATTCTACGACAAAAGCACACGAGAATAGAACACCAGAAAGATCATCTATATACTCAGATGACAGTACTTGGGATTCATTTCTTCAGGTTCATAGTGACGATCAAAGAAAATCAACTACTGGTCTTGCACTTTTGGAGGAAACATATAGGAAGGAAATGGCAAAAACGCGAAAAATAAAAACTGAATTGCGAAATAAGAAAAAGAAAGAAGGAATGCAAGAATTATTACAATCTGTAAGCCCTCTGACCATTGAGGAAGAGGAATTACCATTGTCTGCATTATATGTTAAAAAATTACATTTAAAGAAGAAAATTAGTTCTGTGGACAAACAGGAGGAGAAAGGAAATAATGATCAACGACTTTGGAAGAATGTTGACGAAGTAATAAATGCTGTAGCAGAAAACAGATTAGAAGATCTTTATATAGAAAATTCAGTAGAACAGTTACATAAAAACAATGAAATTAACATACTTCATGTAGGTAACACATCAATGAATGAGGAACAGACTAGCGATCTGAAATCAAACTCAGAACCCCCCAAAGTATTACTGGAAGAAGCAAAAGAAATAGTAGTTTCTGTCCCATTAAAGAGTATTGAAGAAGCTTACACTCAACATTCTAAGAATCCAACATCTTCTGGTGAGAAAATCAAAGCAAATAATTATGTAGAATTAACATCTCTTAATAGGACTCAAGCTCTAACGAATAATGAAGAACAGCCTCAAAGAAATTTGATCAATGTACAAACACAGAAAATAGAAGCACCACTTGAGATATCAATGACTACTGAAAAAAATGTAGTAGAGTTTGTACAACAATCCACAGAAAACAGGAATTTAGAAATTAATCAGACCGCTTCGATAAAAAGTCCAACTACATGTTTGGTGGAACCAGGTGCTAACGATGCATTTGATAATCAACCTACTTTAAATAATATTGAAGTCAATGTAAATATTGAGAAAATAGAAGAAGAAAACACAGATGGAAAGGACAAAGCGTTTTTCTTGCAAGAAGAAATTGTTGATTTTAATAAAACAAAACACATAAACTCTGAAGAAGTAGCAACAATGTCTGATACACTTGAAAGAAGTGATGATGATGTAACTGAACCCAATAATGGCATTATGGTAACTATTAGTCAAACTCCTCCATATGTTTTAAATAAAAGTTCTAATTGTGAACTTGAAAATATGAATGAAGAATCATCTAAAGATTCTTCGCAAAATCAAGAAACTTATTATGAAAAAGAGTATACAGCAGATGATTTAGAAGGAGGAAGTGATCCATCCAAAGATGAACACTTCATAAGTTTGAAGGATCATAAGGCACTGAAAAAAAGAAGAGAATCCGAACGATCTAATAAATCTTCCAGCGAAGAAAATAATAATCGTAATCGAACTCCCGTTCCTCTTCTCGGTGAAACTACAGATTCGTTCAGAAGGGATGAAGTGTCGAGTAAGAAGCTACCTAAACGTAAGAGGGGAAGTAGTAGGACACCTCTTCGGAGGAGTTCACGATATACAGAGGAGGTGACAAAACGAATAAAACTTGAAGTCGATACAGCTGTTCAGCTTATAGAGCAAGAATCTCAAGAAAAAAATATTCAAGTCCAATTCTCTAGTATGTCGCCTACGTCATTGTCATCGTACGACGAGGAAACTGAAAATACATCATCAAACATCAGGAAAAGCCGTAGTCAGAAAACGGCTGTGAATAGGAAACGATGTATACCTTCAGAAATTGAAATTCAGTTAAATACATCAACTTCGAGCAATGATTTGAAAGATATTAAAAAATGTAAACAACACACGATGCCAGAAATGATGAATTGCAAAGTAAGATTGGTGGACAGTAAACATACAATCCTGAAACCAAATGTACACCCTAATGTATTACGAAAATATGGAATTTCAGCAATTAATTTATTTACACAACTTCCTTCCGATCAGGTAAATCATTCCTGTTTGACTGTAGAGTCTACATTAAAAAACTCATTGACTTGTGCAAAGCGTGCAACTTCGACAACTGAATCATCCCAGGGTCATGTATCGAAGTTAATTAGAAAAACAGAGGATGTAACAAAATCCATTAATTATTTGGACAATTTTAATAAAGTGAGAAGAGGTCCAAAATCTATGAAAATGAATCTGCCCGTAGATGACAAAGACGACGATTTTACAGATGAATCTAATATTCAAGTTATGCAGATTTTGACAAAGGAACAGGACATAAACATTTCTCAGGCTCGTGAGAAACCGGATATCGAAATTGTGGAAGAGAAAATGATAGTTACCAAGAATCAACATCAAAATGATTCCGCATCAATGTTGACTGTGATAGAAACAAAGGATGATAAGGAAATACCAAGGACGCAATATACGGTCCATAAAGGTCCTATTTTAGATATTAAGGTAAAGGACCGACCGTATCGTGACAGAAGAAAAAGATGTCGTTATTAAAGCAGTGCATGATTGTTCTTGATTTTCTTGTTTAAATAAATTTTGCTTTATTCATGATTTCATTTTCAACCATATAGAATAGATAAATATTTTTATTATTAAAATTGACTGTGTAAATTGAATTTCTATGAAACATACTTATGTTTTGGGTATAACATATTTCAATTATAAATTTTTATTTTGCTAATTTTTTACTGATAGGTTTTGCCTCTAAATGAACCTATTTTTGCATTTATTGTGTACAATTACCTAGGAGTAGTATTAATAAAACCACCAATGTTTCTAGTTTCAAAGCTTTCCACTTATTATTCTCCTTCACCTCAGCTTTAATTTATAGATATTTCTAATCCTTATCATAAATTTTTATTGTTTTATGTTTTAATTTACTTTTCAATCAATTGAATGTTTCTAAAAATAAGTTGTAGCTGTACATTGATAGTCTATGTTAAAACTTTAAGATTTTACTTCATTCTGTAGATTAATTATAGAAAGAAATATCTTTTAGGTTTTCGAGAATTCATTTCTGGCTGCAAGCGAGGATGGCAGAATATATAGATACAGTCAAGCTTCAAATGGAATATTAAACATCTATAAAGGCCATAAAGCAGCCGTAACTTGTTTATACGTGTATAATCCAAATAGCACAGATGTTAACAAAGAATGGTTGTTCTCCGGTTCATTGGATGGAACCTTAAGGTGTTACAACATAACGGTAAGTAAAATCTATTTACAATAAAGTTTGCCATTGTATACTACTATTACATACTATAAATAAATTTATTAGACTGGACTTCAATTGAGGGACACTGCAGATATAGGTAGTCCGATACAATGTATGGATGAAGCTTGGGGAATCATTTTTATAGGTACTAAATCTGGTCATGTGTCTCGTTATCATATAAAGGTACGTTAAACAAATGTATCTTCTCCATGCAAATGTTTTCATATAGTATAACAATCACGATATTCGTATAAAATAAGATACAATTGATTATTATTTCAGTCAGGAGTTATAAAAGGGAATAGCATACAATTTTCAGATAAGTCTGTACTAGCTTTAAAAGCAACTAACGAGGGTCCACGAAGAGTACTCATTGTAGCGTCTCGTAGTCAACCGATAACAATACGTGATGCACAAAACGGCCTATTTCTTCGCACTATATGTGGTCAAAAAAGTCATACGGTGTACAGTTTGATGCGTGATCATAATCTAATTTATTGTGGCACAAGCACCACATCCATACTTGTCTTTGATTTCACGGTTCGTAACAAATTGCAATAAATAATTTAATATTACGTTATGCATAAACAATATTTTTCACTATATTTCCGTCTTTCAGAATGGTGAACAAATTACACAATACGACGCTGGAGTAGGAATCGTATGTATGCGACTGTATAAACAATTATTATTTGCTGGTTGTTACGATGGGAATATTTATATATTTGACACAAAGGTTGGTACCAAATTAAAATAAAATTCAAAAGACGATAATAACAATGCTTGAAGATACACACTTTTTTCATAGGATTATCGACTTGTATGCAGCATACCTGGACCCGGAAACATGCTTTTAAGTATGGAAATCATAGACAATAAGGTATTTGAATTAATTATTAAATAATGATTCTATATTTTTCATAACGCTGTCGTCTACGTTTCAATTTAATCAAATATAAACGTTTATCTTTCCAGATCATAGCTGGTAGCAAAGATAAACGTTTGCAGTCATGGCAAATGTCAGGTCAAGTGCGAGCTTTACTCTAAAAGTTGGAGAATCAAGGCTTGAACTGAAATATCCTAGTCTAGTCGTGCTCCTAAGAAAGATTAACTTGATTAACTTTGGAGTACATTCTACATAACTGTACAGGTTCAGAGAACTTAATTTGTAAGATGTGTATGTATATATATTCATATGACATATATGTATATACATATATGTATATGAAGTATAAATATACACACACACGATCTTATTTACGAAAAATGCACATAAACGGTATAAATACATTTGTACAGAAACATAGGTAAATTAAATTATTGGTATTGCGGAAAGATTAAAATATTTACAGTATAGTCAAGAATCATACTAGAGTCTTGTTTGTAAAAAAGTGGTAGGAAGGTCTTTATTCCAATTTATCGATTCGCGCTACCGAGGGCAAACCTCCTGTGCCTTGTGCGCGTTGCAAGATATTTTTTATTTGGAACTCTTTAATAAAAAAAGAAAAAGGAAATACACAAACAACGTAAACGCAACTTCAAAAAATGCACCCATTGCCATAAGAGAAAAGGAATTTTTGAACCTTTGCACTTGTTTCTTTTATACTTGCAAACACGTTTAGACACGAAACTAAGATGTTCTCTTAATATGATATTGCATACTTAGTAAGCAGTAAAACAGTATCTTGTCAGTCCTAGATTAATTGTTATTTTATAACAAACTCATAGGTGATGCAATAGTTTTCATAGTTTGTTTGATGAGAGCAAAGGTTGATATAATTACCAATTAATGTAAAATTAATACTTCAATAACATAAATACAAATAATTTTCTTTTGATTTTTGATTGTTTCAAAAGAATTCTTAGGTATCATTTCAGATATTTATTGTTTCAAATTGTGATTGTTTATAGGCTCATAAATTTCTTAACTTGTTCATATGTTTTTTTACTATTGATTAATTTCTTCTTTGTCGATTTCTATTTATGACATGTTTGTTGTTTTTAATATTTTTAAATATTTTTAAATATTTATATTTTCCTTACCATGTGGCGTAATTTTAAATTAGGCAACGCTTAATGAAAAGTATTTCTCAATTGTTAATACTCGGTTTTTTCTATTTATTAATTAAAACAAAGGAAGATGCGTTTCTACCAGTGTTATAAGTGGGAGACCTTAAAATGTGATTGTGATGAAATGTATATGTTAAGACAATTTGTCCACATCATGAATTACATGAAATGTAAAATTTTTAAAGAAAATAGCAGATGTAAAGAAATTGTATACGATTCGATATTTTCTGGTATGGTTTACTTTCAACATATATCCTTGCATCCAATGCACATTGTACTTATAAAGTTATACAATCATTTGCAAACCAATGATTACACTGTGTTGTAGTTTGTATAAGTTCATTGTGTATCTAGTATTTGTTACGTGTAATAATAAAATTGTTCCCACATCTGAGACAAAGTTTTGTAGCATTTATTCTCAGACACGTATTTTCTATGTAAAATAGTAATAGCATTGTACACAATTTTAAAATTTTGTATATTAAATTGTACAAAAGCGTTATAAAAAGTTTTATAAGGAACCTATACCATGAATTGTTACAATTTTTTGTTTTTTTAATTAAAGAATGTACAAAAATATATATTTTATGGTTTTTACTTTTGATAGTCCGACAATTATGCGTGTTTCCTAGAGAAACATTTGTTAAATCAATAAGCTTTCTACATGTATACATAAAACGAATCATCAATTTATAATGAAATTATAATAAATAAAATACAAGATATCAAGAATTTTTGGATTTAATAAATGTTACAAAATGTGTATTTGTCTTGGTCCTGCTAAATCTGGCAAAACTTTTCTGTTGAAGCGTTTACAAGGAGATGAAATGGACGATGCGACACATACCGTTAACACTAATGGTATAAATCTTTTTACAATAAAAAATAGCACCGGAGAGTTTGACATCATTATTAAAGAAATTGGTGGTGGTATGGCGCCAATATGGAAGCATTATTTTGATAAGGTAAATATTAATGGATAAAAAAAATATAATAAATTGAATTAATTTACTAGTAATTTCAGATCGATCATTGAAAATATTCTTCAATATTTATATGTTAACTTTTAGATAGGGAAAATCATTTATGTCGTGGATACAAGCAATCTGTGTCAAATAAGTGCGGCAGGAGTATTACTTTATACTCTGCTAGTAGACCCCAAATTGCAAAATATAAAAATCGCATTAACGCTGAATAAAATGGATCTTTCTTATCGTCAAATGCGTAATGAAGCCTTATTAATGCTTCAATATTCACGTCTACAAGAAGAAGTTACACAAGAGCTCACTGTATTTGAAACTAGTGGTATGACTGGTCAAGGTATAGAAGAATTAAGAAACTGGTTATTCGATCCTGTCACTTTAAAAGCTGCAATCAACGCAAATAAATAAAATTATTATAACAAGTGGACATTTCTTTTTATATATTATATATTCGTTCAACTCGATCTTACAAACATTCTACGGATGCTGTTTTTAAATAACTTGTTATACCAATTGTGTATCGCATTATCATGTTTATTACGTTCAGAAATAAAAACATCGTCAAACCAGAAATTCGATAATTAGTGCTGAGCGGAAAGAGTAATCGTTTAATAATCTCATACCATAGTAACTTTACAAATTTTTAGCGTGCCTTTGATATTTTTTAAATAATTATTAATTAATAAGTTTTCAACATTTTTAATAGTAAGTACTATTACGCGATTGTTATTTAATATCATAAAAAATACGTTATTATTTATATGAATTCGAAAATACTTGTAAGAGAACTAGGTCATACGTTTGTATAAAGAATGCATTCTTGATGTATGTCAACATTTTCAGAAAATCTTTCACATACACATATACAAGTAACTGAAGTACATTATTATAGAAGAGTAATACGAATCAGAGTACAAGAGCAAAAATGCACACGAATAAAAAATAATTTTTCACTGGAAAAAAGAGGAAATGCACTTTCTTGCTTTCTTGTACTATCAATGATAAGTAGGTAATTGTATGTACATTTTTCATTTGTTTCTCAAATATTTTTCGAGTTTTCTTATCAATCTATTCATCTATAAACTTCTCAAAATATAATAAACTATACAAATTAATGAAGTATAAATTTTTAATGTATTCTTGTAAGATCTTCTACTATTTTTACAAGATCATCTACCGTCGCTTCTTTCTTCATACCGTTACCATCATCAATCTGCAAAGATGAAAAAGATACAGAGTTAAAAGTACAGAACAACATACATAAATACAAATTGACTAGAAATTAAATTGTTTACCATAAGACCCATAGCAACTTCTGCCATCTTATCTGGGCTTAAATCAAGAAAGCTTTCGATTAAATCCCCATCTATAAATCCTTCGCACTGTTCAATCTTTAACTCGGTATTAAAACTTCTCCAAAAGTTGTGCTCTATTTTACCAACACTCTTTATAACACTGGTTAATTTGTCTTCGATATTTCGTAAAAATTCATAAAATGTGAATGGAATTTGTGTAACTAAACCAATCGCTCCACTAACAGTTCCAAATAATACACAACCCTGTGTGGGTGTACTTGATTCACCCAAGTTTTGCATCACTAATGACCCATGCCGAAAGACATTGACCATGTCACCTAAATGAAATTGTCCAACCTCCTGCATTTGTTGCCTTTCATCCTCAGAAGTTGCGGCACTAAAAAAAATGTATATTTTAGTAAGTGTATAACATTATAATAAAAACTAATGTACGTATTTAAAAATTTACCTATCTTTTTGACAAACAAACAGATTAAAACAATTCTCAGCGCCTAGAAAAGTATCATCATCTAGAATTTCAACAGCTGTCATCCAATTTGGATTGTAATCCCTTGCAATTTCTTCAAAGCTACCTTCCATTGTTTTATACTGTAGCAATGTAAGAGATCTCATAAGATCTCCAACTAAAACAAAGTCTCCTTTTGTTTTTAAGTAGAGTGCAATAATATTATTGAAATGGCTACATTCCAGCCTAAGTTCTTTTTCTACGGTCCACTCGAATAAACGTACAGTACTGTTAATACTAGCAAGGAGTTTTCCATTAAATTCAACCAAAGAATAACACGAACCCTTGATCTCTTTTTCAGCAACCTGAATAAGTTTTCCGTCATTCCAATGATATAGTAGTATTCTACCCATTTTTGGTTCAGTTTCATCTGGATTAATGAGTGCAGTTCCAACTACATAGTAAGATGTAGGATCATCTCCTAATTTAGTTGATATCAATGATAATGCATATTCAGTAGGCATTAACATATGAGCATGTAAAACTTCGAAAGTATGTTGATCTATGATGAGTAAATTATGTACTTCAATTTCTTGGCCAATTTCACTAGCAGTATGTCCTGTAGGTTTATTGTGCGGTATAACTAAACTGCTACTAGATGTAGAGGTTGCTTGAGTAGATGTTGAAGCTGCTTGCGTAGATGCAGAGGGTCTTACAATACTGACACCACTGCTGTCTTGAATATCAACTCTCATTGTTATTACTCCAAACGTTTGAGAACTTTCTTGATAAGCAATGCGTCTCGGTGATTCTCCAAGAGGAACCGTTCGAATGTGTAATTTCTGTATTTCATCGATTGTTCCAATTGTCACGGTACTGTCAGTTGCTAATGCTAAACTGTCTGGATATGATTCTGCGTTTAAAGAACACATATGGTTTACTTCTTTTAAATTAACATTGCTAAACACAAGTTTGTGATTTGATGAATAAATTACAGTAGGTCTATCAGAACACGCAAAGACATTAGTGGTGGAGAGTGATCTGAAAGTTCTTAGGACCGTTGGCTGTGTGCCTAAAGTAACTTTTTTCTTATCGGAAAGCATACCACTTTGTTTGTGTAAAGTAAAGTAATACATACTACCATCTCCAAGAGCACAAAGAAGATATGTATTACCCTCGAAACAAGTCATTAAAATAGATCTTGGTATAATTTCACCCCCAAGTAATTCTTTATTGATTTCTTCTAAAACAGGTAATGTTAATATGCGAACAGAAATATCTGTCCATAATCCTACTGCAGCAATTTTTGCATCAGTATTGCCATCTAATGGAGATATATCTAAACATGCCACCTCGTATTGCAAAGTTGCAAACCCTTTTGGTACAATCTGTCCATCCGTAATTTCCATATAAAACAAATCATTACCAGTTGCACAAAGTACTTGTGTTCCATTGCAAGCAACTACACTGATGGTTCTTTTGTTCTCTGGTTCCCATTCAGAAACAGTTGTTTTCGTTTCATGTGATATTAATCTGGCAGATTTCGGCGTTATCTGAATAAATAAATCGTTCGTAACATTTCCCGTATGGAACGTCTGTTCATCAGCAACAAAACCAGGAATATCTGTTTCTTCAACTTCTTCTCCATTTAATGTTAATATTCTAGTTTGTCCAACGAAAGATAAAACTAGAGTATTGTCAAAATTGCCGCCGCGAACTTTCAACGCCCACATACCCTTAATGCCTGGTAAATCTATACTGGCATGCTCTTCAATACCTATTCCGTTTCTAATAATTCTAAGAGAACCCTCTTTAAAAGCTCCAGAACATGTGACCATTTGTCCTTGACCTTGTCTTTCGAGATCAACTACAGCCATATCAACAATTGGTGCTAAATTAATAAAAGTCTCCATTGGAACACAATATGAACCATTCTCATCTGCTTTTGTAATTAATTTAATTAATTGCGAATCACCAAGACGACTACCAACAAATATCACACCATTGTCCAAGTATGTAATACATTCTGGTATACTAATTTCTCCTAGAAGCTCAACTTTCAAATCTTTCACTACTTGGGTACCATCCGGTTTCTTTTCTTGTTCCAAGAACAACATGAATAAATGTCCAGCCATATCACCTAATAAATACCTAAGCCCTTGGTTATCAACTTTAGCATAGCATGTAATTGTACTTTGTTTAATGATTGGAGGTACAACAGCAACATATGTGGTTCCATCATGGTACAATATACTTTCCTGACCTATTATTATTGCACCGCAGATAGGGGAAGGAACTGGAATAACCATCATAGCTTCACGTTCCACATTGTCTTGTCGCCAAGGTATTTTAACAAATTCTTTATCCCTCAAAGAAATTTCATGGGTCTTAACATGTCTGCCATTAATATCTTGATGAATTAAAATTAAGGTTGGATTAGCACATCCATGAAGAAAATTTACATCTTGTACTTGTTGTTCGTCCATACGTATCGATGATGCTTTTAACTCTGGATTATCCTTTTCAAGTGGTATAATTTTAAAAAGGCCATCGTATAAACGAAGACCAATCACACGCGCTTTGGGGTCGATTACAGCTTTAATTCCTGTTTCTGAAGCTTTACCAATTCGATCTGCCACATTTCCATGTGCTTTCGTTATAATTTCTATATCTTCTCCTTCACCAACACATTCCAAAATCATAGCATTATATCTTGTGGTCAATAAAAACAACAAGTCTTTTTTCTCATGCTGTAGAAATAATGAAATTCGTTAATTATATATTATTGTTTCATCATCCTTTTTAAACAATATATTTTACTTATTTCATTCATGAAAGTTTTATACATTAACACTTTCATGTATTGTCATGTACAACAATAGGGGTAATTAAATAGATATATTATTTTCAAATTGAAAACGAACATTCAATATAACAAATAAATACTAATAAACTGAATTTTGATAGGTAAATACCGAGACAAATACATAATTTATAATAATCTTAAAATGAGAATGCTAGTATAACCCTACCGGCGGTCTAAAAAATTTAACGACTGCAATCTTGCCGTAAATTCCAACGTCTTTCACTGGTCTTAGACCTTCTGGAGTAACCAAATAAATTTCTAATCGGACATTCTTTGCCAAGATCAGATTCAAATCCGTGGGCGAAGTGAAATTACCTTGATTGGTAAAAATAAAATAATCGCTTATTATCGTACTCATTTACACTTAACGAAAAAACTTTCTTACTCACCTGTCACACATGCAGTGACAGCCGTAGGCTTATGTGCCGTCACAACATAATGATGAGACATTGCTTTCATACTATTTTATCCGACACAACTTTTCTATATTTGTTAACAATTCAAGAGCAGATTTACACACGACAAAACACTGGCCTTGCGAGGTTTTTACTTTGACGCGCCATGAAGTTGGCAACATTTTATAAGGAACTAAGCCTAGTTCACATAACGGTCACAAATATTTTAAGGTGATCCTCTAGGTATCATTCCTGCTCAACCGAAGACTTAAATAATGATTATACTGGCAATAGAAAATATAGGAATGATAAAATTATCAATAATGATGGAATTCTATTCACTGAATACCTTTAATCTTGAAAATGCATGATAGTCATTTGATCCTTAAGTCAATCTTATGACCATAATCAATTGGTAAAAATATTTTCCATTTATCCATATTTTTAATGTATTCTTTAAGAATTAAGGCAATTTTACGTTACGTGTAGCTCATAATAATTTAAGACGTTAAAAACGTTTTTATTAATTTTAAGAACTATGGTTTCATTAAAAAATATAATATCTGAGAAATTTCATATCTGAACATATCCCTACGGTACAAAATTTTAAAATGCAGTTTGTTCTCTTTGTACAACATTTTAGGAAAATAACCATATAAAAGAAAGAAAAATCTTTAATTTATTAAAAATTTTAACTGTGAAATACTTTGTACATTCATTGTACATTCAGACCATAAACTAAGACCTAATCTTACATCATAAATCTATACAATTGTAAAATTAAATGGTATTTAAATTTTTATAACATAATTACATCATTTTAACACATCACTGTATTTTTTTGCTGTATACCTAGATCGGTATATTATAATTCATTAGCTGATGGTCTGTGAAACGCAAAATTTATACATTCTACATTCTTAAATGGCAGTTTAAAATGAATGGGATATCAAAGAGAAATTAGTCCCACTGCATTGTGATTAGTACCAAATGAAGTACGATTAAGTAATATTATACAATATATACTACAAAGTGTGCAAATGTTGCTAATTTCATTAAGCAAGTAACAATATAAACTGCACAAACATAAATTTTGTCCTTCGATAGATTGGGTATGTATTTCTTACATATTCTTTTTATACAAAACAGTCTTAAAAGATATATGGGAAGTAAATTGTAAGAGCATAATCAATGTATAACTGATATTAAGAAATGGGTCTGCTCGTTGCTTAAATGCAGCAACCAAATGAAATCAAGCCAGTCTTGTTAAATTGGTAGGATTGAAACAAATATGTAGGACAAATTACATTTTTAACATGACTTGCACATCGATTTTCAAAACATTGAATAGACTTTTAATATAAAAACAGCTCTTTATAATTTACAGGGAGGAATCATAACCATCATAAATATCATAAATATGATCGTTCAAATATGTCATGTTATACTTCTCATACAAGGTACTTGCCAAATTGTTTTTTTCTACTATAAACCGAGGTTTTACATGCTCCGAAGAAGAACTAGAACTTGAAAGGGGACAATCACATCTGCTTTTATTTCCGTTACTTGTACTGTCACTGTCGCTTTCGCTATCAACACTTGAAACTGGACTACCATGTCTTTGAGCTCTCAATGATTCATTTTCTCGTTTCAGCTGTTCATTCTGTTGCATCAAATCATCGATTCGTTGTTGACAGATTTTTAATTTCTTTGTCGATTCTGAATCTGTACTACTACTTTGGGTTTCTAAATCTCTCTCTTCAGGTTGATGAAAATTTTTGCCGCGTAACCGTTTCGTCAATAAATCTACTTTGGCCTCTAACTGTAGGTATTCTTGTATTAATTCTGATTTACTTAACGTACTCAACCTTTCAGCATGAAGATCTTCATATGCTGTTGAGAATTCCTTCGTTAAAAATTCTTCTTCGTCCTCTGGAGACGAATAAAAATAATCCTCATCAGAATCTACGCTAAAACTAGAGTCTCTAGTACGAGATGGAGCTGATGGTTTCTGAAATGTAGCAGGTGTATCTGTCGAAGCAGCTTCTGAAAGCTTTTGATCAAGGTCTGGAAGATCACTATGATCATTCATAAGAAACTGAGTAGTGTTATATGGTGCTGTAGGTTGTCTACCAGCTTTTTCTAATCGACCTCTTGATCTATACCGTAGCTGTTGTTGATAGTATAACTGCTGTTTTGAATACGGTTTTAATTTTCTATGCTTAGGTTTACCTCTGCGAGTTTTTCTTTTTTTAGCTGTGTTATCTTTCCCATCTTCATGATGACATCCTTCCTGATCTCCACTACCACTACCACTCTCAATTTTCCCTGCTCGGTTTATTATTGTTTTAGCACACTGAAACATAAAAAAGATCAATTATCATCAATATCTCATTTCATAAATCTTATAAACTCCGTCAAATAAGAACTTCATGCGCGCGCGAATCGAGTGTACATTTAAAAAAATGTACATATTGCTCTCTACTATGATTAAAAATTATTCGTCGCGTCACCGATTTCGGATAAGATACTTTATATACATATATATTTATATATACATATATAAAAAAAAATTAATTCGCAAAATTTCATACAACGGGACTTTAACATTTCAAATTGTACTCGTAGAAATATTTTTGAACGGTGTGACATGTATCTTACAGTTTTTCCGTTGATGTAGGCGCCCTCGTTGATGTTTTCGCCAGTAGAGTGCGATTTTTGTTCTGAAGCTGGCAACGATGACGCCGCAGGCGTCGGCTCCGCTTTTACGCCCTTCACGTCATGTACCTCGTCAACGCCGACCGACACTTTCTCCACAGGCGTCTTGTCATTCTGATCCTCCATGTTCGTGATGTTAACTGAAATCCAACGGTTTACAGTGGTACAGATGCACGTTACCGTTAAAAAACACTGTCCGAACCCACCGATATCTATCCACTCCCGTTCCACAAACCGTACACCTTCACCGCAAACAGCGACTGAATCGCCATGTTTGATTTGTCCGTGATTCCGTGCGATAGCGAAGCGCGACGTGCTAACGTTTCAGGGGAGTAGGGAGATCGTGTCGTAGCAGGGAGGGAGGAAACGTATATGTCGCCATCGTGTTCCCTTCCTTCTCTAGTGTTCCCCACTCATCCTTCAGATTCGACTCCCTGAGAGACCATGGCGGCGACTCGTCTCTTGCACGCTGCACCCTTACACCGTTAATTTAATGTTTATTACGAGGAGAGAACGAAGTGAACGATAAGCGTATACCACGAGTGCGTAGCATGTTAGAATACTGGTAGGATTTTCATACAATTATATTAATATATGTATATATATATGCACGTATGTATATATATATATACATATATATAAAATACAGGTTTAACTCGCAGTACAATTATGAAACAGGTAACGAATAGTGATCGATAATCAAATTTGTCATATCGATAATTGCAAACACGTCGGCTTATACCTTGTTTTTTTATTTTCTATTTTTTATTGGAGCATTATCTCTTGGAGACACGGTCGTTGAGACGTTATTTATCCAATTACATTTATTTGTGCGTTTGATACATACAGGCATCGGTCTGTTAGGTTCACTACACTTGCCTTGTAACTTTTGGTTTTAGCAATTCATGCGTGATTGAATTAGGCAAACCCGACCCGTAAATTGCAAATAGAAAGTGGCTGTCTTTCCACGAGGCTACTGATATTTGATTAGAAGCAACACACCTGCTAATCTTGTGCAAAACAACGTAGAATCGACTTCGTTGCAGTCGCATTCCTTCGTTCATGTTTTCAGTACATTTCGAACGATAAACGCTTTTTCCCTAATTTTCCATACCGTCGACATTCGTGGAAATTCGTTTTTCGAGACATTTTCTAGTAACCACTACCGATGACTAATATTTTTCCAAATATAAATAGTTTTTCTGATTATTCCCTCCATTTTATCGCTCGCGTGTGATAACAAAGAGTAAACATTAGTTGATTCCCACACTAATTGAACTAATCGTCGAAAATTGTAAATGTTAGTTACCTTGTTCTTTTTTTGTTTTAATCAACAATTTTATTAGCAGAACGAACGGGATTGGAAGGTCATGAACCGTAGAAACGAGGATTAGGTAGCATACCTAAAAGTAGCTTACCTCGAAGGTAAACTTCTTTTTCTTTTATATATTTTTAATTGAAATTTACAACTGGCTCTAGCGAGCCAAACACCGAATTTGATAATTTGTATACCGTATGCGTGTGGCGAACCCTCAGTAGTGTTACCACTTCCTTAAAGGTAAAATGATGCAGCTAAATCGTTCGCTAATTCGAAATGGTGTGTTTCGTGTGACACATACGAGTCGACCTACTTTGCACGCAGTTACATATAATTATATTATAGCATATTACACTTACTCAATTTCGTACCTGCAATCGGATAGGTCCGCGGACTGTGTTTCCTTTCACGAGTACCAGGGAAACAATATCTTTGATTCGAGCTTTGATTTAGCGACGTTGAGACGTCTTGTTTTCCCGTAGAACAATCTAAACGATATGTCACCTGACGATTTCACCACGAGTGTCAAGTGAAATTTTTAATTCGATCGAATTAAATAAATGAAACAAATGAACAACGTTCTACAATCGAAAATGTTCGACGCAACATTGTTATAAGTCACATGGCAACGTAAGCAACGATGAAGCAACCCGTGACAAGTATTCAGCGTGGAAACATACAGACGGTAGCAAGAGCAAAATTAAAATAGGCTGTCCAAAATGTAGAACGAATATTACACGTAGCATAATTAAATGATAATTTCGACAGGGAAATTCCTACGAAATTCTTCAACATAGATCGTTTGTATTTAATAATAATCGATTTATTAACATTGATATAATACAATTTAATGATACAGTATAATTTAATAATAACAATTGTAATGTCAGTAGTCTCGTACACGCTGGAATCGATAATATAACAAAAGAAATCATAATCCACAATGTACTTACGAGCAGCTAAATACTTTTTCCTTTTGAAATGTTAATTCGATGAAATTCTCGCTCCAGTCAAGCGGGTCGCGGTAATTACACGTTCGCCTCCGTACAATGAAAAATAACAAACAGGCTTTCACGTTTTCGGAAGGAAAACGAGCGAGTGCGCGTGAAAGATTTTCTTGAGTCCGCTCAATACGAGCATTATCGATCGTATGCATGCCAGCACTTGCTCCATACTTGCTCCCGTGTAATTCCGAATAATGAGCTTTTCTACTTTAAACGCAGAAACAACGGGGAATGATTGCCAACGGTTTGCTTGCCCTTCTGTTTAATAGAAATATCGATCATAACTGGTATGTTTCTATTACGTAATTGAAAACATTGAGCTTGCGTACGCGGACCGACGAGCGTGCATTTCCTTTTGTACCTCCTCTTCTAACTAATGTTAAATTCAGTCGAATAACATCGATATTGTAAATGCAAATTTCAATTTATTCCCCGAGCTATAGAATAAACAGAAATGTACACCAGGATTCGCGTTTCCCAGTTATAAATTAATATCCATTTATTTTTTATCGATTAATTAACTCGATAACAGTTCATCCTTAATGGAAGACAAACGTGTTTGCAAAAACGTGAAATGAAAACATTGCGTTCTGTTCATTTGTAATTGTCGCTGCGTCGTATTTTATAAATATAGATTTTTATTATTCAACGATACGTAGGATTAAGTGTACGATCATTCATTAATTGTATATGCTAATTTAACGTTTCAGATTTTGGTATACGTCTCTGTACCTGCACGTGTATATCTGTGTATATAAGTGTACAGGCACGCGAGCAACTTAAGCGCGAAACATATATTCGCGCACGTAACGCGACCAATTCAAGCACAAAGAATTTACATTTCAAGAAAAAAGTCCTAGGAAGGTGGTACAGGAGTCTCCTACATAGAAGACGTATTTATAGTTGCGCTAGTCACGTACGAGTGTTGTTCCATCCTTGAATAGGTGGTACACACTATTGTGTTACACTCGTCTCACGCATAATATCCACAATTTATTGCTGCCATCGGAATTAATAATCAGATCCAGAACCGTTTTACATGTACAGCGCACAAGCTTGGTAAACACGATATAGTAATAACATCAATGATCTTTGACGAAGTTTATCTTCAGGTTCATATTAACGTGAATTATTTATGCAAAAATGCATTCTTAAACGCAGCGATTGGAACCAAAAATAACTGCGCTTATATTGCTCAGGAAAATGAGTTTTATCAAATTGCTTGGTCTGGATGAATGTTAAATATTAAATTAAATAATATTATGGTAAATACTAGTATCAAAATTTGGCTTAGTTATTGCTCAGTCTTCGTTACTATGAAATTTGGTAACTATTACCACTAGTAACAACTATCGAGTAGTACAACTATAATTACTGACTAGTAAATATTCGACAGCCAGTATAGCGTGGCATAGTGGTGTCCAAGAATAAGAAGGTTAAAGTCCATGGAACGCCACGATGAACGAAACGAAGAAAATGCGTGAGATACTGTCTCGCACGGTGCAATCTACGTACATGTAGTAGCCACTTCACCGGAGTGGATTGGTTATACATAAATGCGCCTCTTCTTCCACGCGCTATCTTCGTTTCGAACCTACTTTCCGTCGAGCTCTCTCGATGTAAATACATTCTAGTGGAAGGGAGCAGAGAACAAGCTGTTCCGTAGCTAATCGTCAAGAGTCGAATGTTACAGTTCCGTGCAAAATGCACCGTTCGTAGTTCTCAGTCCGTACACAGAAATCATCCCCTCTATCCTCCCACTTTCGTAATGTAATTCCAGCTTACATAATTGTAATCGGAAGAAGACCCAGCCACGACATGAATTATACGCGTAATTCCATTGGACGAAGGATCGTACCAGTACGACCGGTTACAAAACTTAAAAACGTTCGTTTTTTTCTTTTAGGAATTTTGTATTTCAAGTATCTTTGTCCCTTTTACAAACGCGTAACGATATTTTTATTTTTTTTTTCTATTTATACAAATATTTCCTTTGGTATATTTCGTGTATTATTTAACATTTCTACCGAAAGTGTCAAATGGCACCTGAAATTTTCTCTTAAAATTATTTTCCGAGTTTAGTTGTATATTGAATTGACTTTTCGACTTTTCGAATAACAATTGTAAAGTCAACTGCAGAAAGTGTCAAAAATTTAATCGAGGACAAATTATTAAACTGAGAAAATAATTTTAAAAACTTCAAAATGTGTCTTTTAACATCTTCGGTGGAAATAGTGTTAAGGAGCAATCAAAAGGATCTGTGCATAAACAATCGTCAATAATGTTGACTTCATTAATGCCCCTCCGCCATGTAAAAACGACAGAAATTGTACATGGAGCAGAGTCTTTTTAGAAATCGCACTTTCGATTTTCCGAAATACTATCCTTAACCCACCGATTATTTCTTATGTAATGGACACGCGTATACTGTAGTCCGACTTGTAACAGGTATAAGGTCAACAACCAGTTCGTTGGGAATGATAATAAATTACAACTAAACGCGTTAATACGCGGTGTTACGAAGTCGCCGTTTCTTGTGGAACGTATTATTATTATTATTATTATGGCACGAACACGGTATATAATGTTGTGAATCAATTTAGGAAGTTGCTTTATGATTAATTATGTAGAAGTAATCTTAAATGGAATTTTTTGAATTGATATCAATATAATTCGTGGTATTTAATTAAAGAGAATGAGAATATAGCTTGATCATCGGGCGATATACGATATTCTGGCAAGGCTTACCGAATCCTTGTGCCGTAACCTAAACAAATATTTCGATTTTATCAATGCTTGTCGTATAACATCGCATATTTTCCCTTATTGCATATTATTACTGTATGCGTCCAAACATTTATTTTAAAAATTGTAACAAAGGAATAATGGACAATGGAAATTAAGCCCGATAGTTAACATTTATGCAAAACAAGCATAGAATAGATATGTGTGTAAATTTACATGATAACGTGCAGCTTGTGTGCATGTGCACACGTTACGAACACCTTTTGCTTAAGATCAATACGATTACATATAATGCATATGCAGAGACATACACGAATACAGAGATAGATATTCACACGAATAATTCTATAAGATTTAACGGTGATTCGTTTGGATAATGACGCATAATGTATATAAAGTAAATTTTTTTTTTAATGTAAATGTTGGGTATACTGCTATCTGTAGGAAAAAAATGGAAACGCGTTGTTAGACAACTGACCGGGGGCAATTTAAAAGTTAAACGCCACGTTATTGCGGTAATAAATTTTATATTAAGGTAGAATGATATACATAGATACAACATTATCTAAATGGATGCATTTTATTTTACATTCATATATGCTTAGCAAATGTATAATCATGTAAAAGATACAACTTTAATATCACGGTATTAATATTGAAATCTATAATCGACTATAAAAAAAAAAATTTGTAATCCCTTCGCGTATTAAAAGCATAAAGTTTACAATATAAACTAGTATCTCGCCTTCAAATATAAACCAAAATATAATTGATATTCTTACTTCACATACATACAGAAATTAAATATTAAATGCCACATTATAATACTTTGTAAATTTATACATTAATACAAAAAAATATTTACATATATAAGATCTAAAATGGGCATTTATGTGCATTCAAAAACGTTAAAAGTTATTGTTATAAAATACAATCAGAACATACACTTACTGGTTCCTTAGGAATACTATTAGTCACATGTCTTCTATTCTTGTGGTTGTATATTTATTCAATCAAAAGCTCGTACTGATCTATCTCATCAAACGTTTTATTAATGTTCTCAACCCATTCAATTAATCTCTTCTCTTGATTCTTTTTCATATTGTGTGTTTTCATGCGTTTTACTTCGTACTGTGGTAACTCCTCTTCGTCATACTCTTCATCCGAAAAACTGAATTTTACATTACGTTTCCGTTTATACGAATGTTTCGGAGGCTGCAACAAATATATAAGTACATATATGTAATCATTGTTATTTATTATGTAAATTTGATTTTAAGTAGGTAACTAAATTACATACCTCAGTAAAATGGGATGGTTCTGGGTCAACAAACAATGGAAGTTCAGATGTATTTACCATTGAACTTTCACCCATTTCAGAAAGAACATCAAACGTATCGGAAAAATTTGAAGTATCAATGTGCATATCTTGTTTTGCCTTAAGAGGTACTTTTTTAATTACATCTTCATTTTTTATATCTTTTACAGGTGTGACATCTCTTAATGGGTTTTTAACTAACAATTTATTTTCTATTTTACTCATTGGGAACTTAGTAAACAGTTTTTCATTATTTTCTGAATTTGTTGTAAAAGGTTTCCTCTTTTGGCTTTCATTTGTTGTGATTTTATGTTTAACAGGGGATATATCCTCATTAGAATCATCATCGCTAAAACCAAATGCATCCTGTACATCTAAATTAGACTTATTGGATTGTTTTGTAGATTTGGCACTAATTGGCGTTGATGGACCATCATCAAAGATTCCATGAGCAGTTTTAAATGACGTACTTTGTGGCATGTCCATGATATTTAAAAAGTTATTTAAGTTTGATTGCCTCAATACATTCCTCTGTTCACTAAGAACTCTATTCTTTTGCAAACCTGATGGACCAGGCTGAGGATCCAAATTTTCTTTTCGATCATGCATTTGTATGTTTTCTACAATCTTCTGTGGACTTCGAATTTTATTCTTGTCTATTTTAACAACTTTTTTAGGTGAACGAGGATTGATTACATTGTTTACTCTATTTTCAATATTATGATGTGTAGAAAAATGATCTACACTAGTATTAACCCTATTCGACGATTGAACATTTGGTTGTACATTTTCTATTTCATTTGATATTCGTTCTCTTATTTCTTCCCCTACATTGGATGGCACAGAATGATCTATATTCGTAATTTCTGTACCGAACTTTCTTGATGTTGTAGAATTCTTTTTTCTGGAATAGTTAGTATTTTTATATCCTTCTAGACTCACATTTTCATTGTTCCTTAATGAAACATCTTTTCCTCTTGCAGCATTTTCATTATTCTTAGATTCATTCATTGTTACCCGTGATAGTGTTTTTCTAAAAATGTCATATTTCTTATTTTGTGGTGTACTTTGAAACACATTTCTTACTTGAGAAAACGTGAACAAAGGAGGTGGTACTCTCCAGGGGCTGTTATACTCGCAATTTTCTGATAATTTAGTGATGGGCGACAACGATTTTTCAAACAATGAATTATTGAATGAATTTTTTTGATGGACTGTTAACTTATTATTAAAAATATTTGTAGGTCTAAATGGTTTAAAATCATTCGATTTGGAGAATTGTGAATTATCCATTATAGAAATTTTTTGGTTACTTAAGTCTTGCGTAGATACAATTGTTAGTTTTTTAATTATATTATTTACAGGTGATTCTGTGTTGGTGCCATCTGATATAGGATGTGCTAATGGCTCTGTATTTAACTTTGTATTATTTATGATGCTCTTCTCACCATTTTCCGGTAATGGAACTTCATTTGAAGGTTCCATAGAAATGTTAACTTGTAATGGCTGATCAAGTTTCTCTTCCTTAACTTCTTGACATGTAACACTAGTAGGTTTAATGTTATTCTCTTTACACACTACATTAGTAGATTTAATATTACTTTCTGTACATGCTGTAGATTCAATATTACTCTCTTTAGGTGCTCCATTAATAGATCCAGTATCACTTTCTTTGGGTTTTACATTAGTAGATTTAATATTACCTTTCTTAAATTCAACATTACTTGGTTTTGTTTTGTGATCCACCACATTCTGTACATTGTATTTTTTGGAAATAATTTTCTTTTTCTTGGGTAGTAATGTTTTCTTTGCGATTACTCGTTTTCTTTGTTTTCTAGGTAATCTTTCCTTAGAATCATTAACATCGAAATTGAATTCATATATTTCACTTGTATTTTTTACAGGATGTTCAGGTGAAATACACTTGTAAACTGGCACCTTTTCTTTCTTTGTACTCAATTTCTTTACCAATACTACGCTATTTTGTTTCTTAGGTGAAAGATGTTGTGTTATCAATGGCAAGTCATTTTCAGATGACTTTATATTTTCTCTAGCACGCAACAACTTCTTTTTTGACTGATTTAGAAAGGATTCTTTTAACGATGTTTGTCTTAAATTATATACATTTTTGTTTAATGTTTTCTTAATTTTTCGTCTCTTAATATTCTTTGGTTCTTGTTTATTTGTGCTTAAACTATTATTTGTCACTATTTCAATAGCTGGTTCAGGTTCTTTCTTATCAATAATTTTTCTTCTAGTAATCCTTTTACCTTCTTTATGATCATTTTTAATTGTTTCTGATGAATGATCAATTTGCTTTTTCATTGATGAATTTTTTAAAGCAGTTGCTCTTGTATTTTTTCTTCTAAGACCATCTTTTGTTTCTGATTCTTTCTTGGTATTTGATTTCAATTTTGATATTGTTTTCGTGACCAATGTTTCCTTCTTCTCTTGTGATTTCTGAGACTCTGTTGTCGACAAAGTACGCTTTCGTGTTAAATAAGGACCCATATCTTTATATCATAAATAAATCTGAAAAAAAATATGCATTAATAAAAATGATTTGGTACAATTCTTTATTAATTCTACAAAAGTTTTTAACATACAACAACATAACATACATTAAACATACAAATATATGAAACAACAATAATAAAAATTAATAATTATATTATATTATTCAGTAATTACCAACCAGTGTAAATAGTAAATATTTTCAATTAAAATGTTAAAATCCAAATGCGACGATCCGGCGTAATATGTGACGTAACAGTGTCATGTCATCATTCATTGACTCCAAGAATTTCTTTAATATGATTTTTTAAAATCACATTAAAACACACATCATTTAAAAATGTAACACCAATAAAATGTTCGCGTCAATTTCTATGAGGAAACCAGCAAGTTACATTATTCCCGCGTTTTCAACAACTTAACAACAGAACCAAGGCATCACTAATAATTTACATTTATGACAGAAAGTAATCCCACGTAATATTCTTTATAAATTAATTTTGTTAATACCGATAGTTTGACTTAAAGAATTTATAAATTTGAAATAATAATACCAAAACAGTATTATCAACAGAAACATATGTCGCTATTCGAAGTAAGGTTATATGTAATGATTCGTTTGATATTCAATAGGATCACGTAGCTGACTGGTTCTTCTATATACGTTGAAAACGATTCGACACTGAGCATTCAACACAAAGTATTCCACATTCGACAAACAAAACACAAAAAGAACCTTTCATTGTAACCGACGATGTTTGCTCGTACGACGCAAATAAAACCGGTTAAATACTGCGTACGTCAAGTATGACTAAGTATATAAGTAACCGACATGTCCGAAGCATCAGTGGCGTCGCTATGTGACAACATTAAATACTAAATGCATAGCTTTGGAAATACGACACACAAAGTTTAAACATTTTCAGACGTATTTTACCATTAAAATTTATCTTTCATTTTTTTCGTTACAAACATATATATGTTTAAAGTTATTTATAAAATAAATAATTTTCTAGAAAATTAAATTATCATTATTATATTTTACTCTTGTTATTATATTTACTCTTGGAAATGAATCTTCAGAATTCTTATTCTATGCCGGTACGTTAAATAGAAATACTTTAAGTATTTCCCGCCAAATTGTCGCTGACGAATACTAATTTTATTTACATTAAGAATTAACGCAAATTATCTGAAAAAATGGAAGGATTCGATGATCCAGGAATATTCTTTTCTGACAATTTTTCAGTGGGTGATACTAATGAAACTCAATCACAGACCAATCTCCAGTTTTACAAAAAGAAGTTTATGGAATTTATTAGACAATTTCACGAGGGAAACTTCAATTATAAATACAGGTACTTTAAATATATTACACTATTTACTTCACTATTATTAACGTTAACTATGTTAATAATGTAATCATTGTTTAGAGATACTTTAAAGCGAAATTACAATCTTGGTCAGTATTGGGTAGAAGTTAATTTAGAAGATTTAGCAGCTTTTGATGAATCTCTGGCAGAAAAAGTTTATAAACATCCAACAGAATATTTGCCAATTCTGGAAGAAGCTGCAAAAGACTTGGCTGATGAACTTACTGCTCCAAGACTTGAAGGTGAAGAAAAAGTGGAAGATATACAAGTGTTATTGTCTTCAGATGCACATCCAAGTTCATTAAGGGGAATGAAAGTATGATTAGATTTCAAAATCTTTTTGGATATATAACAAAGCATACAACAGTTGTTATATTATGTTTGTTTATCTTTGCTTAGCCCGATGCAGTTTCTAAACTCATCAAAATACCTGGTATCGTTATTTCTGCATCTGGAATTAGAGCTAAAGCAACAAAGATTGCCATACAATGTCGGTCGTGTAGAAGTGTACAAACCAATATTTCCATTAAACCTGGCTTAGAAGGATATGTTTTACCCAGAAAATGTACAACGTATGTTTCATTAACAGTATATTTTAAAATCAATTTTATATTTATAAATCTAACATATGAAAAATATTCAAAGTATTTATAAACAATTTACAACAGAGAACAAGCAGGTCGACCAAAATGTCCATTGGATCCGTTTTTCATAATGCCAGACAAATGTCACTGTGTAGATTTTCAAGTTCTTAAATTGCAAGAACTGCCAGATCATATTCCACAAGGTGAAATGCCACGCCATTTACAATTGTATTGCGACCGTTATTTGTGTGACAGAGTCGTACCAGGCAATAGAGTTCTTATTTTGGGAATATATTCTATTAAAAAGGTTACCAAAACTGGTGGTAGAGGCACAGGAAAAGAGAAACCACTGGTTGGTGTTCGAGCTCCATATATAAGAGTCATTGGTATTTCTGTAGATGGAGAAAATTCAGGCAGTGGTACGTTAACAATAAACAGACACCATGGAACTACAGAACTTTTCGTAAGATTGTGTTCACTCATTTTAATTTGCATGGTTTCAGGTACTCAACCATGTGTTACAATTGAAGAAGAAGACGTATTTAGACGTTTAGCAGCAGATTCTAACATATATGAAAGGATTGCAAAAAGTATAGCTCCAAGCATTTTTGGTGCATTAGATATGAAAAAGGCCATAGCATGTTTATTATTCGGCGGAGCCAGAAAGAGAATGCCCGACGGTCTCTGTAGAAGAGGAGACATTAACATTTTAATGTTAGGTGACCCTGGCACAGCCAAATCACAGCTACTAAAATTTGTCGAAAGGGTCGCACCTGTAGCAGTTTATACGTCTGGAAAAGGAAGCTCAGCTGCTGGTTTAACAGCATCGGTCTTAAGAGATCCGGTTACGGTAAATCACTCAATTTATATATAATCATTAATTTATATATAAAAATGTATCTATTTTCTATTCGTTTGATTTACAGAGAAATTTTGTTATGGAAGGAGGTGCTATGGTTCTCGCGGATGGCGGAGTTGTTTGTATAGACGAATTCGATAAAATGAAAGAGGACGACAGAGTTGCAATACACGAAGCTATGGAGCAACAAACAATATCAATTGCGAAAGCGGGGATCACAACAACATTGAATACTCGATGTTCTGTTCTGGCGGCTGCAAATTCTATATTCGGTCGTTGGGATGATATAAAGGGAGAAGAGAACATAGATTTCATGCCAACTATATTGTCGCGGTTCGATATGATATTTATTGTTAAAGACGAACACGATCAAAATAAGGACGTAACATTAGCAAAACATGTAATGAGCATTCATACTAATGCTGGTCAGGTTACAGAACAGTCTGCAGAAGGAGAGTTGCCGTTGCATATACTAAAGAAATATATTCATTATTGTAGAACGTAAGATCCTGTTACCTTAAAATATAGAAGAGTCACATTCTTTATTCTGAATTAACCTTTCCTTCCACAGACGCTGCGGCCCGAGACTTAGTGTAGAAGCAGGAGAAAAACTGAAAAATCGTTACGTAGTAATGCGAGCTAGCACCAAAGAGCATGAGAAGGATACAGAGAAGAGACTATCTATTCCCATAACTGTTCGTCAGTTGGAAGCCGTTATAAGAATTTCAGAATCGTTAGCTAAAATGCAATTACAGGCTTTTGCCACGGAGGTCCATGTCAACGAAGCGCTAAGACTGTTTCAAGTCTCAACTTTGGATGCTGCGATGTCCGGATCATTAGCTGGTAATCTAGAATTAAACAACTAATATGTATGCACGTATACCTGTGTTACTTATTTCTAAATAATCTAATTTCCGAATAGGAGCGGAAGGATTTACCTCGGACGAGGATCACGAAATGTTATCTCGTATTGAGAAACAATTGAAACGTAGATTCCCTATTGGGAATCAAGTATCAGAACAGAATATTGTCAAAGATTTCGTAAAACAAGCATATCCGGAACGTGCGGTTTATAAAGTTATACACACAATGATACGTCGCGGGGAACTCCAACATCGTATGCAACGTAAAATGTTGTACAGACTGCATTAAAATGTAATTATAAGTTTTCTTTTCTTTTTTATTTAGCATACTATATACTTGTTGTTTTATTATAATGATCTTGTGCATTTATGCGTTATTATATGTTTTTCTCATTTTGTACTGTATTTCATTAGTTTTCAATGTATAAATATACATATATATATGAACACAAACTACGTACTTATAACTTTTTCAGTTATGATACTAGTTCATCTTTGAATGGATAATGCGGATGATTTTCAACTCTAAAAGAATTAATTTAAGAAACGTTATAGTGCTATATTTCTATAGGAGAATTAAACGTATATCAAACTTACCCTTTAAAGAATAGGAAATTAAAAATTCTCCCACGTGTACCTTTGTCCAAGGTACTCAAAAGTTTCATGTCATCTTCGTTTAATGCAAAATCGAATAATTCAATATTCGCTTTGATCCTTTCTGGAGAGGCGCTTTTCGGAATTACAACGACGCCTAATTGTAACAAATAACGCAATAAAATTTGTGCCGTTGTTCGTTTGTATTCTGCGCTTAATTTTTGTACTACTGGATGTCCCAAGAGGTCTGGATATTCCTCAATACTAATATTGTATTTCGTTTTGAAGTGTACTTTGGCTCCTGGAGATGCCAAGGGACTATAGGCAGTTACAATAATATTGTGCTTTTTGCACAATTCTCTAATTGAATTTTGTTGCAAGTAGGCATGTAACTCTATCTAATAATAATTATGAAATCGCGTATCAGTAATTTCTTTTGCAGAATTTATTCTATTCAGTACTTACTTGTAAGTTACTTGGTTTAATTTGTGCATTTTCCCATATACTTAATATCTGCTTCTCATTAAAGTTACTTAAACCTATGGATCTTGTACGACCTTTTCTTACTTGGTCTTCCATTTCCTACAAATTTTTTACAAAATTGCTTTGCAATATATTTTAAGCTTCACTTATATTGTTCATTAATTTTGGTCTAATGTAAAACCTTCCACACTGAGACAGGGTCCATATCAAGATCTAATATGTAAGTTCCATCTTCAGAAGTAGCTGGGGCATGATAGGTGCCAGATTCATCCCGTTTAAAAGCAAAAGGCATGTGTATTAAGTACATGTCCAAATAATCCAAACCAAGTTTTTCCAAAGATAACTTAATATATTTCTCTACTTCTGATGGCCGGTTACCATAGTGGGGTAACTGAAAATAATAAATAATTTTTTGAATCCACATAAAAGAATTCATTCCTCTACCACCTTTGTAGTAATAAAGAGATCCTCTCGTCTTCCACCTTCTGCAAACCACTTTTTTAATACTGTTCCAATTGCATCTTCATTGTTATAATTAAATGCAGTATCAATATGTCTGTATCCCGCATTTAGAGCAGCTGTCACAACATTTTCAATTTCATCGGGCTTGGCCTATAATGTTTAATGTATAATAATGTAGTGTCAGTACAGTTTACTCTTTTAAATAATAATTTGGACTATAATTTTATTTAATATTTAGTTACCTGCCATGTACCTAAGCCTACAGTAGGCATATCGTATCCAGACAACAATCGTACTGAATTCATTGTCCTTTTCTTTGACTGACCTAATGCTGCAAAGTAAGTCTGAATATCCTTTCAATAATGTTTTATATTATAAACTGTCATAAGATTACAACTACTCATATGGTTACTATAAAATACTATTTGTAAGTATTCAAGAATTAACTACTCCTACTTCCTGATGATTCTATTTAAATATAAAATCAATTTCTAAAGTTAGATCAGTCTTGTACTGTTCTGAATACATAAGTCCACGTTTGTAGAGAAATAGGGGTTGTCGCATATATCTCGCGAAGTCACGTATTGATCTGTGGCGAGTTTTATACGTAATATCAATTTAAACGTTTTAGAAAATCATTGTTTATACGGTAACCGACTTTTGTATCCTCAAAATTAAAATATTCTTGAATATTATTGTATATAAAGGAAAAAGAAAATTTAAATCACCCGGTTAAGCGACTGTGATTCACGAAGTATTTTAGGTCCTGCCGAACACTTAAAATAGGTGAAAAGTTGCTAAACAAATAACAGAATTGAAGAAGTTAAATAAATTAAATTTAATACGTACACATTGATTTAATCGAGTATCCTTGTTGATTTATTACAAAGAAACATTTGACAAACTGATATTTTATACATCGATATATTGGTCTAAGAAATGAGCGTTGTTGATATTGAAAGATACTTTTCACATACATGATTAATGTTTGAAAATATTAACTAGTTATGATTTTTAAAATAAATGATTTATAAACAGAAAATAAGATACATGAAATTATCTTTCCCGCGTTACAATATTCTTAGTAATGACATTTATCAATATTTCTGTGTCAATATCCTTCCTTTGACTTTCGATGGCACAGAACTTAATGATTCTAGAGTTTATAATACTAATTATTTAATCTGTAACATGAAGAAGTTAAAAGGATGGTACAATAAGATAAACTATAAAGGGATTTGTACAATTATTTTACAGTTGTATTCATTAAAAACAGTTTTATCGTTTTTTTTACATGATTATGTATATTAATTTATGTAATAATAAGGAGGAAAAAATATTATAACATATAAATTTATTTTGTGAAGAAGTTCCATATTAACATACAGCAGTATAACTCGTTTAAAATAGTTGGCACCATTGCGTGTCAGTTATATGATGTAGTTCAGTTCAAATGTGTGTTTGATTACATTTTAACTTATTATGAAAACAGTGGATTACTCGGTCGTAGTTCAGTATCAAAATATTTTACTATAATTTATGACTCGATGATCTAGATTTTCATAGTAGAAACATGTTGATATACGATGTTTTACACAAGGAAACAGTGTATCATTCCGTTGTTAGTGAGCTTCGAAACTATGGGGTTAGATACCGGTTCAAGAAGAGTATGTTCAAAACTGAAAGGCTCGAGGGAATTAAGCAAATCACGAAGAAAATATTTAAAACGCCTCTATCTTATCAATCGTTGGATGTCGTAAATCTGTCATCAGGTGGTATTGTACACGTACCCGTTTTCGTTAGTCAAGCATCTGCCTTTTTAGAGCAGCATGCCACTCAAGAAGGATTGTTTAGAAAAGCAGGATCGCAACTTCGACAAAAAGAATTAATAAACCGCTTGGACAATGGTGGGATTTTAGGAGAGAAACATCATGCAGTTGATGTGGCTAACTGCTTAAAAACCTTCTTCAGAGATCTACCAGAGCCATTGATTCCTTACTCGTATCATGATCTATTCATACATTGTGCCATGCTCAAAAGCTATCGTGTAGAAGCATTATTATTAGCCTGCATTCTTTTACCACCGCATCATCTTAATACCTTAGCATTTTTTATGGAGTTCCTAAGAAAAATATCATTATATGAAAATCAAAATAAAATGAGCATTGATAACTTAGCAAAGGTCATTGGGCCAAATATTATGCCCTTACAAGAAACTACCATGTCCGCTGTGCAGATGCGTCTTGAATTGCATTTGATTGTTGTAAAGGTAATAGATTTCTTTTTAAATATTATATAAATTTCATATAATAAATACATAATACATTTTAAAAATATTATAGATTCTAATTGAAAATGCAGAAAATATCGGTGTTTTGCCAGTTCATATAACACAAGCCATTTCTATGGAAACAATTGGAAGTACGGATAATGAGTTAGATGTATATGATAATCATTCGCGTTTCAAATCAAGGAAAAAGAAACATCGCAGTGGAAGTCTTACACGTAAGCCACACCTAAGTGCCTCCAACCTCAATCTAAGTATGTCTGTAAATTTGTTAATAATAATTTATTCTCTGCTCTATTAACATCAATAAAATTACATTGCAATTGATATAAAACCAAATAGTTTGACTTAACACATACATCTTTTAACTAACTCACCAATTTATTTGCTTAATTAATTAATACATTTGTAAATATATATAGCTTTTATTACATGTGTATAATGTGTATATTTAGGAATGTTTAATGGATTAAAGAAGATTGTTGGTAAAGCTGCTGTATCTGAAGAAGGTAACATGCTTGATAACCAACAAGTTCCTGAAAATTGTGATCCATTACATGTGTCAAATAATAAGTACACAAAGAAAAGGAAAGTTGCTGAACGAGTGGATCCATCAAGTACCAAGAAAAAGTGTGTATTAAAGTGTACATTGTTGTTCAAAAGCTTGAAACCTTTCTTAATAAAGGGTTGTTTTAAGCTGTTTTTTATTAGCGTACCTGGTATACATTATATATAAATATTAATTATGCATTTCTAATTTAATCTGTGTTGCAGAAGAGTTGTAGATAAATCAGATAAATCTAAGAAACTAAGACTTAGTTTAGATCGTTTTGTACCGAGGAAACCAGTAAGAACATTTTTATATCCCATGTGATAATACAAGCATTTATTATATGATTTACCTTATATAACATTTTAATATTTTTTTAGAAAACCGTTGATGAAGATCCAGAATCATATACAAACGCTTTTAATACCTACACAGAACGCCGTTGGAGTTCTATTTCAAACGCGTGTGACTCGCAAAGAAACTACAGAACATATAGCAATGATTCATCGCAATTGAAACTAATTCTAAAAGACAGCGAAGTAACAAATGAACTTCAGAAGGAATATAACAATTTATTCATTGATGCAGATGTTAATTTATCAGATGATAGCGACGAGCAGGTCTTGTTAACAAAAGCTGATGATATTAACATTAGAAAATGTTCAAGTTCAGAGGAATTAAAGGAATTAGATAACTTTTCATACCCACTGAGAAGAAGATTAACTTTAAATAATTTTAAAACATATTCGCACATCGAGGTCTCATCTATGGACAATCAATCTGAAGAATATGTTACAATACCCAAAAGTGAATATGAAGATATTAAAAATAGAGTTTCTGCAATTGAATCTCGCCTTTCTCAAGAATTTGCGTGCGTGGATAATGAAGAAAACGTTAGTTTGTCACCACCTTCCGTAAAGAAAGTTCAAACTGCATATGAAAAGACTCTGGAGGAGGCTAGCATAGAGAACACAACAAGTACAGATTATTTAGCTAGAAAACTTGGAAAGGAGCTTAAAATTAGAAGATCCGGTGAACATAAAATCATAAGATCTCCTAGTGCTCGGAAGATAGGTAATCTAAGAAGGAGATCGCAGGAGAGGGTTATGAGGTAAAATTATAATCCAACATTTTTAATATCTATACAAATTTTAACATTTTCATTCTTATTTTCTTGGTTTACATTTTTAAATTCGCAGTAAACGCATTAGACGAACTGCTTCCTGGCACATTTCTCATGGATCAGATGTACACACTCAAATACCATCTGATCAGGAATTAAATAACAGTTACCATCGTAACCAAAACACTTCTTCATCGAATTGTAAAAACACCGAGATTTATTTAAGACCTGTATCCACTTCTCTTTGGGAAGAGGAGAAAAATAATGTTATTCTAAACAACGTACGCGAAGAGTTCAATGGTATAAATACGTGTCCAACAAAACATAGTCTAACTTCTCTTGGAACTGAAGTACTGCAACCAATAAAAAATAGAACACATGCGACGGTTCGACGGGTATCGTCTTTTCATGGCAACGAATTAATGAATACTGCAAATATCTTTTCTGATGAGAAGATTGAAAAACTAAAGAAAACGAATAGTCAGCAAAACATTGTGTGTAATACACCTGTTATCGGTACATTAACTCCCAAACTTGATTGGAAGAAATCAGCCATGTCATGGAAAGATGCTGAAGGATATTTCAAATCAACAAATCAAACTAATACTCCAGTAACTCAAACTGGTCGTGCGTCAATCGCTAAATTGAGAACTCAGAATGCTGGGATGGTACTAGCCAAAGCAAAATTATTTGACGAATGTACAACAAAAATGTATGCTCAAAATGCTGAACCAAATAAAAGGCATAATTGGTCCAATATAAATGATAATCAATATTCAAACGATTTAAAACATTGTTTGGAAAAGACAGATGTATGTCGGAAATCGAGTAAAAATGTAAAACATAAAAATACAAAATTATTATGTAAGAACTCCCCGTCTCATGTTACTGTGGAGACAGGCATCTCGCCTTTAAATCAGTATGACGGTAAACCATATTATACTTCGCAGAATTCAGAGATAATCGTTAATACGCCGAGAGTAATAACGAATATGCAAATTAATGTTTTATCTAACGTAGCACGTTGTCAGAAAGAAAATGTGATTGTGAAAACACCATCAATGTTGGATCAAGTACCTATCAATACGATCTTAGATGATTCCAAATTAAGTGTGTATAAACCAGATGGTAGTTCACTTTGTAGAACTCCACATATCAAAAAATCATTAACCATAAAAACACCAAAAAGTGCTAGAACATTAGTGAGAAGGCCTATAGTAGATTCTCGTAGAACACCGTTAAAGGCTGTTGGTCAATTAGGTACTCCAAAATATCAGAGCCCCAAAGGTATCTTGAAAACACCAAGGAGTATTAGACATGCTTGAGCTATCAATGTACAAATTTATTAAAACTGTGTTCAACTTTGTAATCTATGCTATTAAGCTTTTGAATGTTCAAAGTAATGATTTACATTATATTGAACCATAACTATAATATAAATACAACAGTGACACTTATAATTTAGACTTTAACAGAAATACTATTTTTCTTATACTTACAATGTAAGTGGTTGTTGAATCAGATATATTACAGTATTCTTCAGTACGAACATACTTGTGTATGTAAGAGGAATAATTTTTCAATATAAAAGCATTGAAAATTTTTTAAATTCAGCAAACAAATTTGCACTTTCAATCAATTGCAGAGTTGTATAAAAATATAGAACTCTTGCTGCAAAACTTTACATAATGTTTTATATACATATACTGTATTCGTTTTTGTTTTTTTTTATACATAATATGTTTAACTATGTTCAAAAATATTTTAATTTTTAACTCAGATACTGCTATCTAGTACTCCTGTATTTGTGCCATGTATTTCAACTATGTTAATGTAACAGTATTTTGCTAGACTTTAATTAAATCATTAATATATATGTATATATATTTTTTACTGTATTAACTGTTTTTTAAATTCTTTCCTATAAGATAAGTGAAAATAAAACGACAAACATTGCGTAAAATTTTATAAAAAGCTCTCGAGGGTCAAAGGTCACCTTCGATTATTTTGCTTGAGTAGTCACAGACTTAAGATGTGTACAGACTGTGCATACAATGTATTTTTCGTTTACTGTTCTGAAATACCGACACTATCGAAAATACTCAGATACATTAGCGGATTCTACCCGAACCAAACGGTCAACTACTGAACTATGTAAGACTGCAACATGAAAAGTGTGTGTTTTGGGAGGTCAATTTTTACATTGTGCAGATTTTAAAAATTATATTGTGTTGAGTTTGGAGAGTTATGTAAATACTACTTCCATCATTTAAATGTACGCATCTTATACATTTGTTGCCATTAAATCATATGACACATCCGTAGCAAAAATGAAGTATACACTGAATCCTATTCCTGCTAACAAGCCTGAATACTTGTATTATCGGTAATGTCGAGCGTGATACCAAAATTGTACAAGGGTCCTGAGGACTCACGAAGCCATAGACAAAAATTTCCATAAGCAGCAACGTTTGTAGGATCTTAAGTTTGTGATGTAGTTTTCCTATTTATTGTTCTCTAGGTGTACAGGGCAGAGCAAAACCTGTAATTTTTTCCATAGTCGGTAATTCAGAACATGTGCATGACGTCCCGTAAGTTGTAATGTCTATCCATATATCTCTTCTGTGGTAATAACGTTTATCTCACGTTCCACCAATGGGATTGTACCGTCTGTCCCACCGGACTCTATCGAGTAGAAACAGTACACGTTCATTACACTTAAACAAGACGGTTATGACTGAGAAATCTTGCACTCTCTGTGAGCCGAAGCTTCGTTTAATTGAAAATAACGGAAACTTGGGCGGAGTGGTAGAATTTAACGAACGCTTCTCCTTATAAAATGTAGCGATCGCTTCTAAATGCATTCGTTGGTAGTTACAGGTATCGTCGTTTTGATAGCAGCGCCTTGTTCATTCTACATAGTTAAATCTTACAGCTGTTGATACGTAAATTATTGGTAGAAAAAGTGTCACTGAATATTTCGTTCAGAAACATAGCCGCTGGCCTGATACGATAACCGGCACAAAAATGAGAGAAGCTGGTATAATGCTAATAAGTACAGCGTTAACATGCGCTGTAATTGGCAATGCTTATTATCAAAGAAAACAATTTTATCCGACAGTAGTTCACATAACCAAATCCAATCCTAGTATGACAGTAAGTTTAACTATCTTTCTATTTTTAAATATTCTTTCAAAATTTTATTGTTCAGAAATAAAATGTTTAACACTTTATTGGTCTGTTAGACATTGAAATTTAATTTTAATACTGCCCAGTGCATAAGGAGAAATGGATCAATGTATTCTGAATAATGTTGTGATTTCATGTATCTTATTGTTGCTTTTTGTCTAGGTGATTTATGCTCAAGGATTAATTCTAGTATTTATGCTAAATGCTTTTCTTCGAAAAATATTTTTTGGTACACTACGTGCTACTGAACTTGAGGTAAGCAAAATTATGTATTGTATCTTAAAAGTAAAGTACCTAAGAAAGTCAAAATGTTGTAATCTTTTATGTATAAAGATATTGTTAATAGATGATTTTTATAATAAGCAAAATATACTTTTGTATTAACAGCTATTTATTTGCAGCATCTACTAGAAAGAGTATGGTATGCAGTAACTGAAACTTGTCTAGCATTTACCGTATTTAGAGATGACTTCAGTCCCAAATTTATAGCATTATTTACGCTTCTTTTATTTTTAAAATCATTTCATTGGTTGGCAGAAGATCGTGTGGACTACGTACGTAATATAACATTTATATAATTTATATTATTCAAATACCTTTAATGTTTTATTTTATTAATTTTTCAGATGGAAAGAAGTCCGGTGATAACATGGTTGTTTCACCTTAGAGTTGGTACATTATTAGCTCTTCTATTTGCTATAAATTTAACTATGATTCGTTATGCATATAATACAACAACTACAAAAGGTCCTTCCGTGCAATTAGTATTCGGTTTTGAATATGCGATCCTCTTAACTGTCGTGTTCAATATAGAAATAAAGTATATATTGCATACAATAGATCTACAAAGTGAAAATCCATGGGATAACAAACCAGTATTTCTATTATATACTGAATTGATAATTGGGTTATTGAAGGTGAGAGATTATTTCTCTTTTTAATCGTATCTGAACTGTATACTTAATGTTTAACAATAATATATTTCGTTTAAGGTCATTTTATATGTTGCTTTTGTTACATTGATGATAAAATTATATACTTTACCGTTGTTCGCACTTCGACCAATGTATTATACAATGCGAGATTTCAAAAAAGCTTTCCATGACATTGTAATGTCTCGTAGAGCTATCAGAAACATGAATACACTATATCCAGATGCAACAGCAGAAGAATTAGCTGCTGCTGACAATGTATGCATAATATGCAGGTAATTACAAAAATATTCCATTTTCTAAAATAAAATTTGATAAGTATGGCATAGACACCATTACATATTATATATACATATATATTAATATTGAAGGGAAGAAATGGTTTCGGCAAGTAAGAAGTTACCATGTAATCATATTTTTCATACTGCATGTCTTCGTTCTTGGTTTCAACGTCAGCAAACATGTCCCACTTGCCGTTTAAACATTTTAAGACCTGTTAACAATAATCAAGGCAATAGACAACAAAATCAACCTCAGCCAGGACCACAAGTACCTCAACCTCCTCAAGCACCAGGATTTAATCCAATTGGTATGTATTTTATGTATTATATATATATAGAAAGAGAGAGAGAGAGAGAGAGATTGTTGCATTCATATTTTATTAAATACAGTTCAAGTCTTACCAGCATTCTGGGCTGGGCTACAAGCTCCAGGAGCTGCACCGCAACAACAAGTTCCACCAGCAACGCAACAACAACAAGGTCAAAGTACTACTACAAACACTCCTACCACGTCATTCCAAAATTTAGCAGCTGGTGGTGTACCACTGTTTCCACCACCATTTCCTTCTATGGTACCATTACCACCGTTTCCTACTCCACCACCTAATTTAACAGAATTGAGTGAAGAAGAGCTTAGAGCAATGGAGGGTAATTTACGACAAGCTGTAGAAGCTAGAATGCAAACATTGCAGCGAATTCAGCTCTTGCTAGATGCTGCCAGTGCTATGATGAACCAGTATCAAACAGCCGCAGCTACTGCTAAGTTTGTATAAATTTTGTATTTAATAATAATAATAATAATGTAACTTTTCAATAATTTTATTGAAAGACATAACTATTTTAATATTCGCGGTTACAGCATTCCAGTGCCAACTGCAACAAGTAATGTGAATGTTACAACAGATGTTTCTTCATTAGCACAACCAGGGACATCTAAAAACACAAGTTCTGAAGTTGAGAATGTTCACTCAGAAAGTAAAGTTGACATAAACGTTCCTAGTACTACAACTACACCCAGTGAAAGTACGAATACATTATCGGGTACAGAGGGTAATGATGTAACTCCAGAATCATCAGTTAGTAATGAAACCGAACCAACAGCCGTAACAGAAATTTTGCGGAGACGTAGGCTACAAAAATTTTCAACTCAACTCACGACAGAGTAAAAGTTCATAAAATTATGTGATAACTTGTGTAATATAATAATCTGTACCTCAATTAATGACTGGCATGGTTTGCAGATGTAATTAATATTTGAGAAATGTGTAACGGTTATGGTTAAGAGTTTGAAATTCAAATTCAAAGTTGTCTTTACGATATCAATAATCTCAAGTGTATGAAATAAATTTATCTTTTTTTTACATATACATATATACATATAAACTGTTATAGAAAAAAAATAACCAGGCAAATTTTTATTTCAATGAATACATTGTGTACCAGTTAGTTTATGTGTATATAAACTCTTTACACAATGGTACAGATTTCTGCAAAGTGTTTTACGGAATGAACTTTTGTATTCATTAAATTGCTTCTGTATTATTTGTCTGATAGTTATTAAAACTCATCACTCTCAATCCTGTATATTTATATTAAAAGTTTAACTTAAAATGTTTAACAGATTTTCATTGTTTTACATTCAGATCAGAATACAGATTTTGTGAGTCATTACATTTTGTAAGAAATACTTGTGTTTATAAATGAGAGTGGTAATATCAGTCAGTATAACATGACTGAGCAGACAATTATTTTAGATAACTATCATTGTATGTAATAAATTTATTTCTTCAATAATATTTTTATTTTCATTGTATAGATTTATACACCATTTGTATGGTTCATTAAAGAAAAAAAAATGTTTGCAATAATTTTAAATAATAAATCTAAATGAGACTATAGAATGTAATAAAAATAAAATAAATTATATTATTTAAAAAATAATGAACATACTCATATTAGGGTAAATACAATTTTATTTTTAGAAATTTCAATCTGTTTAATATTTAAATTATAAATATAGGATGATCTACAACTTTCTATACAAACGTTGATAACGAGTTTTATCAATAAAAATAAGATTAAAATGCCTTTAAGAAAAGAAAAAAATGGAACGTCTTTATCGATACGAAAGTGATATCGACCCATTTTCCAACAATACCGTAAATCGTTCATTAAAAATATAAAAAAAAAGATTTTTCTATCAATCACTTAAGGAGAATATATGGCCTAATTAAAAGATCACTAATAAAATAATTTTCGTTGTATAACAAATAAATTTTGTTCTGTCTATACATGAATTATTAAATATGCCTTCTCGTATGAACATAGCCTTGCTAATCCATAATACTTGTGATGGAAGAAAGTTATTTTTGTTAATGAAATCATTTGATAATGAATGCTTTCCATTGACTGATTTCTCGAATAATTTAAGATTATATCGGATTGTTATTGATCGTGTAGAACTAAAAATTTCCTTTTTGTCACAGTGGATAGAAAGGACCCGTTTGATGTACTTGCCGATAAATAGTAGTAAATATTATGCGATGCAGTACTGTTTTATTAGGAATAATTTCACAGTACTTTCTACCAGCAACCTCAGAACTTCAAGCACACAAACCATGTATACAAATGCACGTTTATATACTTTTCATTCTTAAATATTTCAGCATCAATGAGATCGTAAGCTATTGGTTTACAAAACCAGAATGAATTTGAAATTAACCTCGTACTGTGAACACTGTATGTTTGTCATCTTACAAATCATGTATAAAAACAGTAAACATATCATATATCAAGGTACAACATAAACATTACCTAACTCGTTTTATTTCGCATTAAACAAGAATATTATGTATTATTGTTAAAAGTGTTACACGTTAGATGTGTTGTAGTATTTTTTATGTTTGATATTTACGCATTAATTTTTTAATAAAGCATTTCATGGATTCTTTGTTACAAGACATTTTAATTTTATGTTTACTTGTGGGACGCACTGGTAAAATTTGTACGAGAAACTACGACACCGAGTGGATTAAAACAATTTTTAAAATCATTAAGAAGGCCGTACAATGATTACATACATATATTTTGACGAGAAAACGAAATAATACTTTGCATTCTATAATATTATTTAAGTATATGAAATACATTTGTTTTGCAATTAGCATTAAGAGCTTAAAATCAACACAATTGTGTTTGCAGCATTTATATCTACATATTTTAAAGAATGATAGAAAAAATGTATAAAAACAATCAGTATTATTCGCCAACTTTTATTGATCAGTTAATAGATAATTATAACCTCATTTTTCTACATCGGAGGTGCGCAAACTCCATGTAAACGTATAGAAAGTAGATCCGATCTCGTACTACGTTTATTTTTTATTATTTATAAACAATAAATATCATTCTTGACGAAAGAAAAATACTTTCTCAATTTGACATACGTAAACGCTTTGAAATGCATACAAATGGATAAATTATGCATACATGCAAAAATGTTGGTAAATGATAAAGTTCAGTTACTAACGTAAAATTCTCATTATATTGTCTATAATTTCATAAAATATTCTGTAAATAAATTTCTTCACTTTTCATTTGTCATCGCTGATTCTTTTCAACAATTTTCTGTTTCTTGTTTGATCAATTTCATTTAATCCCATGAATATCCGAATACCAATAGATTTTGTTGTTGCAGATAGATATATAATACTTCTCTATTTTTCTTTTGACTTTGTAATATCGTACTCGTAAATAATCCAGAATTGTTTCAAACAAATAAAGTGACGAATGCATACTTGTGCAATCGTGTGAAGTTACTTTCGTATATATGAATGTTACAAAATATACTCCCAGATAATTGAACTTCTTATAAAAAAAATAATATTCCAAACAATGAATAATTTACATTAATTTTGCAATAATTTTGATTAGTTAAGCCGAACAATTTCTTGTTTTATTGCTAGAATTGTGAAAGTATTTCCGTCGTAAATTGGTAAATAAATTAATTTCTGTTTACATGTAACAGCCCGAAAGTCATGGAAAATGTTAAAAAATGCGCTTTAATAATTCATCCAAATTAACCGATAATTTCAACGGCTCAGTAGGTCGATTATTAATAATTATATTAAAAATCATTACGATAGACGTACGTAATATCGAATTGCGCGCTGAAATCCTTGAGACACACGAGGCGAACCCCGTAGCGCGTTGTTGTGATCTAACATGGCGGAGTGTAGTGTTGTGGCTGTTCGGTGTCTATGTCAATTTTAGAGTGATTCTGCTTAATAAGAACGAAGAAACTGCCATGGTCGGCGATCACGATACCGCGAAGGATCGAGCGAAATAGTCGTGCGTTCGCGAGCATTTGTATCGTGAAAGAATCGACGTTAATTCGGATCTTGTTTGTCGCGGGAACTGTACACAGCGGCGAGAGAGCACGCAGAGTGCCGTCTTCCCAATAACGAAATTCTCTCCCGGCTTTCAGCGAGAACGAGTTGGCTTGCGGAAACGATTCCACGCATATTCGTGGTCCCTTAGGTTCGCGTAACCACGACACGTGAAAGCGAAAACGCGCGCGACGTGAAGTTTTCCCGCGCGTCCCGTGAGCTTTTCTTGGCGCAAGAATCAAGGCTTATGCAACGAAGAGCGCATAAACATCTATTACGGTAAACAATCCCGTTCCGTCAACCGAGGCCCGAGGCATGCGAGCTACGTGACGGCTCATCGTCGCTCATATCGTATCATTGTAATTTGACAGTGACGAAATTGTCG